TATAATGATAAGTATAATTATTTTATATGATTAGCTAATTTTTATTATATGATATTGTATGATTATTATATGGTTATTATATGATATTAACAATTAAGACAATATTAAGTTTAAAATAATTATATATTACAATTTCCTTCATAGGAAGAATTATTCAAATAACTATAATATAATTTATAAATATAAAAGATCTATGCTATTAATGCAGCTTGTGCTTGTTTTTTAATATTGTCCGCGAGTTTTTTTATTTCTTCATTATCAGTTTTCAGCTGTTGTTCTCTTTCTGTAATAGTAGTTTCTAAATATCTTAACTGTTGTTTTATATTTAAATACATTTTGACTTTCTGATAGGTATTAGAAGTATTTGTGTTGAATGAATGTTCTTCAGAAAATTCATCTAAGAACAAAATTTTTATTTTTGAATATGACATAGAATTATATAAAAACTAAGTATATGTAACTAAATTTGAAATGAGGTTATGGTTGAAAACATTTTAATATTTTTCTTATTACAAGTTTTATAATAAAATAATGAAACAAATAATACCTTTATCGATTATTTTAAATGCTATATCATCTATAGAAGCATTATTAAGGTCTTCTAATATACATTCAGAATCTGGAATATGAGGTCTTGGTGGCAAATTATTTTTTTTATTGCTAAACATATTTGAGATATTCGTTTTATTTCTTTTACTTGTGATCGTTGTATATACACAAAAATTTATAGCACGCATATAGTCATTAATAGAAATACTAGAATTAAGTCATATGAATTATAAATTTACTGACATTCAAAATTATAGCAAGAGATATTTTAGCAAGTACCAATGTTTTATATAAAGTAGTTACGTGTGTATACCTATATACTCTTCCTCTATACACTAATCTTTTTCTTAGAAAAATATTCGAGACAAATTATATGTACATAAATACACATTTTTCAATTAAGAAATATAAATTATTTTTTATTAAATTTAAAATCACTAAATATATTTCTCTTATGAGTAAATTTATATAGTATAATTGTACACTAAATTTATTACAGTATTCAAATTTCACATTACATCATTACATTTGTCATATATTTCTTTTAAATATACTATATCTGTCCATTTCGTTTGTAAATTTTCAAATTTCAAATTAAATATAAATTTTTATTTTTTATCTATAAATTTGATAATGCAGTATAATGATTAATTGTGATGTATATACTGTAATTAAACAGTATTTAATCTAAGAATTTTATTAAATACATTGCCTGTCTTTATGTTTTAAATTCTGAATCTTTGTTTTTTAGTTTATGCGTGTATTAAACAGTCAATTGAACTAAATTCATGATATCGCGCAGTTTTCAAACTTCCTTTAGGATTGTGCCGGTAATGTACTACTCTATAACATATTTTATATATTCTAAATACATAATAATATATTAGATATTTATGATATGATAAAATAATATCAAATAATTTCTATATTATTACTATTATAATATTGATAATTTTTTTAGTGTTTTTTGTGCTCAAAAATAATCAGCATGCCGCCAAAACGAAATCGAGTTTCAAAGGTTAGATAATTAAACAAATCATGTTTTAAACATTTTTATTAATGTATAAAACAATAATTTTATGCTAGCATGTTTTTTTTCAATATAATTTTACTTAATGTATGCCATAAAATATGAATATAATGTTACCATAAAATAAAAAGTAATTTATGATAACATTATGTTCTACAAGTAAAATTTATTTAAGATATTTACTTTGCTTTTTTTTTAATTAGGAAGATTCTGTAAAAGTTAAAAATGAAACAAACACTAAAATAAAATCAAAAGCAGCATCAAATAAAAGATCTAAATCTAATACGAGTGATCATGAAGAACCTACTACAAAACGTGTTAAAAGAGAAGCAAAACCAGTTTTGAATAAAATAGATACGAATTTGAATGAAATCAATTTTAATTGTTCAAAGTTAAATGCAATAGGAAACAAGTATAATTTAAAAATTTCTAGTTGGAATGTTTCCGGCATAAGGGCAGTCATTAAAGTATGACAATAATTTTATTATTATTATATTCTATGTTTTTTAACTGAAATTTAATATTATGTATTGTTACGTTAATTTAGAAAAATGGAATGCAATATATCTTGAAAGAAGATGCAGACATAGTTGTATTACAAGAGACTAAATGCGATAAAAATAAGTTACCTGAAGAAGTTAAATTAAAAGGATATCATTATTATTTTTTTGAGAGTATGAATCTTTATAATTTACTATAAATTTTTATTTGTGAAATAATGAATTATATATTTTTTCTAAATAGGTAAAAAACCTGGATACAGTGGTGTTGCATTATACACAAAAAAGAAACCAATTAATATAAAATATGGTTTAGATAATGCTGAATTTGATAATGAAGGAAGATTAATTACTGCAGAATATTCAAATTTCTACTTACTTAATGCTTGTAAGTTTCAGGTTTTATATAGCATAACTCTATGAATATTGTATACTATATTTTGTTACTATAGATGTGCCTAATGCTGGTCAGAAATTAGTGACATTGCCTAAAAGATTAAAGTGGAATAAAGTCTTTAAAGATTATGTAAAAGATTTAGATAAGAAGAAATCTGTCATTATTTGTGGTGATTTGAATGTCGCTCATCAAGAAATAGGTAGGCCTTTTTTCTACTTATTCATCATTTTACAATTTGTATAAATTTGTAAAATTATATAAATTGATTTTAAAATTATATTAATTGATCTATTTAGATCTCAAAAATCCAAAAACCAATACAAAAAACGCTGGATTTACAAAAGAAGAACGAGAAGGTATGACAGATTTCTTAGATGCAGGATTTGTGGATACATTTAGAGCTTTGTATCCTGATAAAGCAGATGCATATACATTTTGGTCATATTTTGCCAATGCACGTAGTAAAAATATAGGATGGTAAATATATAAAATTTTGTTCACTGTGGATTTAAATACTATTTTTATTATATATTTTTATTATATTTTATCTTTTATATAGGAGATTAGACTATTTTTTGGTATCAAAACGAATTAAGGATAATGTCTGTGACAATGTTATAAGGGATGAAGTGTATGGCAGTGATCATTGTCCTATTGTACTTTATATTAACATATAATTAAATATATATAAGTGATATACATTTTTATATTTAAATTGTGCGTAACTATGTTCAAATAATTTACTATGTTTGCTGTAATCTATTTATTTTGTCTTTTAAGAATAAAATTTGAAAAATATTTCATGTTTACTATTATAATGATAACATCTGATTTTCTGATATAGGTGTATTTTTTTTTTCTTTATATTATGCAAACTAAATTTTTGAGTAAATTTAACATTGCTCTAATATAATTTTAACATTAACCTAATTTATAAAAGATATTTTTGAGATCTAACCTATTTTAGATATGAAGTTTGACACATTTACTGATCATTTATGTTTTTTAAATAATTGTTTTAGGTGCTTTAAAAATAAATAAATAATACTTTGATTTAAAGTTAAATAACAAAATGCATAAAACGTTACCATTGTTTATTATTAGCAATGATTAAAGAATAAGAATAGTAATTGTAACAAAAACGAAACGATATATTTAATTATGATAGAAAATGACATCGGTAACAAACAGTATTATTAAATTATATAAATATGAAAGTTTCTTATATTTTTTTTTATGGACTGGTGCAGTATTATATTCCATTTACAAAGTATTTCTAATTAATACTTGTAAGAAATTAAATATATATTTTATATTTATGTACAAATTATAAATATATTTTAAAATTATACATAATTTTTAGATTTTATTAATTATGATGATTTGTATGGTGATTTTGCACCAGGATGGACATGGATTGGAAGGAAACAAGATGTTTCTGATGAAGAATGGAGAATGTGGATACCATTAATAATAAAATTAATACCTTGGTTATTTCTTCATCATATTATTAATCATTTCATCAAAATTTCATCAAATTGTATGGTGCGACGTTCTAGTGTTATTTTATATTTTATTATTTATCTCAAATTATTTTATTAACAATGTTGACAATGTTATGTCTTTTTACAGCTATTATGTTGTTCGTACATCTTTATATCTTTGTTATTTTTGTATTATTGTATTGGAATATTGGGCATGTTGTGTGCATTAATTCATCCAAGTATACTCTATATTTTAACATATAAACGTAGCAGCTCTATCATATGGATGATAAACATAGTATTTTTATTTATAATACACTTTCTTAAAATTCCAAATGGTATCTTCCAAAATACATTTAAATTAAATGATGAAGAACACTATATTTTAACTCATATAATATGTTGGGTTCAACTGAGAAGTATTAGTTATAGTATAGATAATATAAAATCACATTTACAAAATAATTGTGATAATATCTCTTTTGTTATACAGAATTTCTTATATAAACTGGCATATTGTTTATATTTACCTACATTGTCTTTAGGACCATTAATTTTATACCATGAATTTATTGATTCTGTATGTATCATAGTTTAGTAAACTTGTGTTTGTTCTTAGTTGCTATGAATAAGCACAAAATTATTAATACTTTTTTACAGGTAAAAAAAACATCTCAATCTTTGAAACTTGCAGATCTCAGAAATTTTTTTTTTAATGTAATTAGATATATTTTCTGGATATTTTTTGCTAATTTCTTTTTACATTTTCTTTATTTCAATGCAATGCAATATCATCCAGAGGTAAAGTTATTTTTTTATATATAATAATTTTTATTAAAAATAAATAAAAATATAACTTTTTTTTGTAAAAACAGTTTGTTAAAAGTTTAGATCCATGGACTTTGTATGGATTAGGATATTGCATGGGGCAATTTTTCTTAATTAAATATGTTGTAATATATGGATTCAATCATACTTTATGTGCAATAGATAATATAAAAGCCCCTCCTCAACCCAAATGTGTAGCAAGAATTCATTTGTATTCTGACATGTGGAAATATTTTGATCAAGGTTTATATAAATTTCTTATAAGGTATGCTTGAGATATATAAATACAATATATAATTATAATAAATATTTTCAAAACAATTCATTTTTCAGATACATTTATGTACCTTTGTTGAAATCAAATTTTAACAAATTATTCGCCTCGTTTTTATGTTTTACATTCGTTTTTCTGTGGCATGGAATGCAAACAAATATTTTTATTTGGACATTTCTGAATTTTATAGGGTTAAATGTTGAAAGTTTAATCAAATCAACTGGAAAAAATAAATATTATTTAAGTATACGAAAAAAATATTTATCAGAAACAAATGCGAGACGATTTTATTGCATCTTAACAAGTCCTTTGTTAGCCATGTCAGTTATATCAAATTTTTATTTTTTTGTTGGAGAAGAAATTGGAAATATTTACATCTATAGACTATTACATGGTACCATTTTATAATATTTTACTATAACTTTATTTCAAATGAAAAAACAAGTATTTATTACATAGATTTCTATGAGCTGTTTATTTAAGTTTAGTTAAATTTTATATAAATGTTTCATTACAGATACAGGATACAGCACATTTACATTACTCTTTTTTCTTTATTGTTGTTGTCAAGTTTCTACAGATATAAAAAATTGGGAATTACAAAAATATTCAAAACTATAAAACATTGATTTCACACCATAGTAGAAAATATTTTAAGGATATATATATATATATTTTTTGCTTATAATTATATTATCAAATAACTTTTAAACATTTTATTGTTTTAAGTACAAAATGAGTATAAAAATACAATATATAACTAAAATTATTTTTTATATTAACATTATTATAAGCCTTTAACGTTTATTGTAAATGATAAAAATTAGTACAAGGTATATGAATATTTTTTACGTAATTATATTATTGTATTTATTATATAATGTATTTATTAATATGCTATTAATAGCCAACTTTATAATACTTACAAGGCACATTATATTTCGTAATATATAAATTTTTGTAATATAAATTTTAATAATTTCTAAATTTTTCATTTTTATATTTTATATAATATTTAACTAATTTATTTGTTTACATATTTTTACAGAGATACAATAAATGCTTTTGTCTTATTTATATATCTTAAAATAGTCACATTTTTATTTTCTAAAACTTTTATATTTTTTAATGTTCTAAATCTGAAAATATTTGTGATTATAGTAGTAGATATATCATATTAAAATATACTTTCACTAGAAAGTTTTAGTTGTACTTTATTTTTAGAAAAAGATATATATATTTTTATGTCAATTTGTAATTTTAAGGTTCAAGCAGTAAAAAACCTGAAAACCTGTTAATTTTAATATAATTTATATTCTGTTAATTTCAATGCAATTTATATTCAATCGTTGTTTTAGTGAAAGATAATTTTTCTATCATCTACATATAATAATTTGAGCTTTTCGAACTTGATTTTCTGTAATAGAATATTACTAACTAATTTTTGCAAATATATTGAACTCATTCTACATAATTCTTTAAACATAATTATTAATATCTACAAGATGATTATTACTTTAAATTATAAACTGTTTATATATTTATGTATTTTCATAAGACAAAATTAAGATTATAATACCAGAAATATGGAAGACATTTTTGAGCCATATTTGAAGAAATATAAATATTTTAAAATATTAAAAAAAAATAATATATAGAAAATGTTTTACTGTTTATAAATGTGGTACATTTTGCGACGAAAGCATAATCTTTATAGATGAAAATAAGGAAGTGTGCTACAAATAGGAACAGATGATACTTTTTCCATAAATTGCTTAAAATAAATATAAAATATGATAAATAATATTTCTGTAATTCATCTAAGTAGAATATAGAATATTCAATAGAAAGTAGAATATTCAAGAAATAAATATAACATTAAAAATTTCGTTTTTGTTAAGCAAATTATGAATTTGTAATACATTTTCCAATGTTTGGCACACAAACAATGCTATTAAGTATTTCTATTCTAGTAAATTAATCTGTATTTCTATCCTAGTAAATCTGTCAATATGTACATAAAAATTGTTATAAAAAATTTAGTAAATGTTACTTTTTAATTTTGAACATATGGAATGCCTAATAACGATCTTATGACATTTATAATTTGTTGTCAAAAATAATAAGTTGAACTATTTTAATAATAATCATTTCACTTACAAACAATGAATGCATTTTTATTCATTTTTTAAACTTTATTGTATATCGAAGATGTGCTAATATTGTATATCTCATGATTAAAATCGTGTAAAAATATGTTACTAAATTCATTTTTTGTTTTTGGAGAATTTTATATGTTATTCTTTCTTTTCTTTTTTATATTCTTTTTTTTAAATAATAAAAAATTGTTAAATCTACATTTTTTTCTAACAATATTTACATATACAAAAATTGAAAATGTTACTGTAGTATTATTCGTACTACAAGTGCATTTTTATTAAAATTATTTTTATAGAAACAGAGAATCTATAGTATATAATTATATTGCTTTTTATATGAATATTTGATTTTTAAAAAATTAAAGAACTTTTGGCTTTTACTTACTTTCTCAAATGTTTATTTTTTAATTTCATTATTAGCCATGTTGTGGTCAATTTTGAAAACACTGTTTTGTAATGCATTATTAGTTAACAAGAAGATTGTATTTTGATTTTCACTTTGTTTTATATTAATAGTTTGCATGTGTTTATTCAAGGATGTAAATTTTTTATTTTTATTTAATTGTATTTTTGATTGTGGAAATATATTAATGCATTTATTTTGTACCATTATATTAGTCAAAGGTTCATTATGAATATATAAACGTTGTTCAACTTGGTTCAATAATTTTTTACTATCCTTCTCAGAAATGTAATTTGAAGATGTGATTGCTCGATTCTTTATTAAATTTTTTATAACTGTTTGATAATTACTTAATTTTTTATTTTCTTGTAATAGGCAATTCTCATTTTGATTTACTAAAGTATCCATAACTGTAGATATCGTTTTATTAGCAACTTGATTCATTTCTTGTAAGGTATTTAAATCTATTAAGTCTTCTGAAAGAGCAATCTCATGGGTTTCAATTTCTTGAAAAGATTTGCAATTAAGAGTAGTAATATCACTGTTTTCTTTTTCGTACTTGATATGTTCTTGAGTAAGTATTATATGTTTATTGCTATCTTTGTTCTTCGTTTCAATATGGGTATCTTCTACTTGCATTAGTGCTGTTTGTTCACTTATAGAATTATTAGATCCTTCATTAAAATAATTTTCGGTTTCATTAATTATTTGTATGGGATTTTTAATTTGATTTTCGGAGAATTTAATATTTTCTTGAAATTCTAAATTATTTTCATTTTCTAAATTATTAATTAAGTTGCTATATTCTACTTTAATGTATGATGGTGCTTCATTTATATTGTGATAAATTATTTCAGATTGATCAGTATTATCATGACATATGAGTTGATTATTTCCATCTCTAACTATTTCTAACTTAATATAAGAAGCACTTTGCAATTTATCTTGTACTTTATCTGTATACTCATCTGATAAATTATTTTCGTCTTTGTTAGAAACTCTATTTTTTATAGGTAATTCAGTCTCTATAGATTCAGTCTTATTCAAATGAGATTCTTGACAAATCTCGTAAGTTTCAAAACAATTTCTAATAATTTGTATTGCATCACTTGATTTCCAATTTTTATCACCATCAGTAGTGTCATTATTTATAATATATTCCTCAGTCACAGTATTTTGCAATTGATCATTGTTATTTTGACAATGCATAATTGTTTTTGTTGCAATTATATTCTCATCTATCACGTGATCTTTATTTATATTATTTCTTTTTTTTCTATTAGTTCGGACTTTTTGAAAATCTTCTTCTGACAGATATAACAACTCACCAGTAGTTGTTAAAACTTTACCATGTCTTGTTTTTAAATGACGTTTATAAGTATTTCTTGTTTTAAATCTAATATAAAATTTTTTTTTAATAAAAACATGTTATATTATAAATATTTTCAATAGTTCACATTTTGCTTACCGTTGCCCACAATCATCACATCCAAACGGTGCTTCGCCGGTATGTCTACGTCGATGTTCCCTAAAGTGTGATGGATGTCTAAATTTCTTTCCACAATCAGCGCATGTAAATCGCGTTTGATTTTGATGAATCAACATATGATATTTTAAACTATGTCTCCTTGTAAAAACTGCTCTGCATATACGACATTCATATGGTTTTATTCCAGCATGACTGCGATAGTGAGATACTAATGTTGTAGGTGCTGTGAAACTTCGTGGTGGATTACAAATTCGGCATTCAAGATTACTTCCTGTTGGATTTCCTTTTTTTTTTATACGATCCATAAAAGCTAATGCCATTTCTCTTTCCTCTTTACTAGTACCTATAAATTTTGCTTTTCCTTTAGGTTTACTAGTTATAATTTCTGTATTTTTGTCACTATTTTCACTTGACCATGATATTTCTAGAAATAAAAAATATTTGTTACATAAAATGATAATATAAAGACCAGAATATATATTTATATAAATAAGACATACATATGTATGTATACAGAATATATTAAAGTATGTATTATAAATATTTTACACATTTACCTGGTAAATAAATGGCATCAGATTTTTTATTGATTTTTTCTGATAACTTTCTATTAATACGTGGATATTCTTTCGTATGAACACTGTCAGTACCAACAACCATAAGTACAATCTACATAAAGAAAAGAATTGTGCTTAAAGATTATAAATTTTATACTTATATTTTATGTTTAGTACTTACATTTTCATCTGTCATGTTTTCAAGAGAATTGTTAAATGGTGATGTTTCTTTTTTGCTAGGAATTTCATCTTTTAAGCGTTCAAAATAACTATGATCTCCAAAAGCTTTAAAATCCATTCTCTCTACATCTTTTTGTTCAGAATTATGTACTTTTTTAGAATTTTCTATTTTTTCAACATTTTTGTTTTTATCTAGTTCCTTAAAAGTAGACTCATTTAATAGAATATTTCTTAAGTAATTTGTTGATTTTTCTGTAATAATATCTTTATTTTCTTTATTTAACGTTTCTTGTGGTTTTCGTGATTGTTGTAATTTGCTTTTCTTATTTTGGGGGCTGGTTTTATAATTTTTATAACTTACTGACTTTGCAGTAAAAGTTTTATCTATAAAATGTAATTTATGTTTTATAATTAGTATATAATTTCTTTTCTTGCAAGTATATGTAAATATTGTAATATTTACTTACAGGCTTCTTTATTAGTTTTTAAATATTCTAAATGTTCTGCTAAATGTGCTTTAATAGACATTCTTGCTCTTCCTTCACTTGCAAAACTAGTGTATTTTTGCCCACATCCAATGACAAGAGCACATGTATATGAATATTGTCTTTTTAATTCATCACTTGTAAAAATAGAAAATTGTTTAACTAATTGCGATGCAGGCATAGATAAAAGCTGTGGCACGTTAAAAGTTAATTCATTAGTCTTCTTTTTTACATAATCTATTTTTGATTTGCATTGTGATGGTAGTAATAATTTACTACGCTTTTTCTCCGAATGTAATGTCTGAGATGCGACTTCTGCAAGCATATCTAATAATGCAGCTGGACTATCATTCCCCATAATACCTAAAATGATTATTATTGTAGAATAAAATGATTTTTATGCTATATTTTTATAATATATTCTGTTATGATGCAAATCAAACAAACTATATTATATGATTAAAAATTAATAGTAATAAAAGTAGTAATAGTAATAGATAATTAAGTAACCTATATTTCTCATTAATTAAAAAAATTAATTATAATAATTATATAAAAATATACATAAACCTATATAATGAATTTTTCATTTTTTATTATAAAGTTAAAATGGTATATCTTCATTTTATTTGCTACGTCAAATATACAACAATAAATGATCTTTATTAATATTATGACACATGAGAGTTTCAAAAAAAAACATAATTTTATTATTTCATAAAAATAATAAAGAGAATTTTACGTTTTCAATACTATAAAATAATATTTAGTAATAATATTTAATAATATTGAACGATTATAAAAAAAATATTTTTATTTTTTATATATGTGAAAATCAAATTTATTTTTCAAGCGTCATTCTAGCAGACGCCATAAGGACGCCCAGCAGACGGTTTTTCAATTCACTTTTACTGTTCTTAACAAAGTATGTATTCTTCTTATTAATATTAACTATGTTCAAGAGATGAGAATTTCAATTACTTAAAAAGAGTAAATAAACAAATACCTCCGTTATATGAATTAGAAGCATATTCATGGTTTGTTTTGGTGTTCATTATGGCATTCGTATTCGCGGCGTATCTTCATTCCACTGCCTTCTGTGCACAACAGGTCCCTTTTGTTGCTTTCTTGTTTGCTTCCTTTCTTGTCAATCCTGAGAACAGTATTGCCAATCTGTGAGACAAAGATTTTGTATATTCATGTAAATCTAATGTAAAATCTTGTAGTTTATTTTTGTACAGTCTAAAATATTGTTTTAGAAGATTATTTGTTATTTACGTAACAGATTTACAAATAACGAGTTCACAAATAGAAGATTTCAATTTTGTTAGGAACATTTATAATTAAATATACAGCACATCACACGTAATATTAAATACAAATAAAATTAATTTAATATCTGTAATCTAAACATTAAAAATTTTTTATTTTTTAACAGTAATCATATTTTTTATATTATTCTTTTCCTGTTTTTGTACTGAAATATATTTTTTTAACAAATGATTTCTTCAACTTTCATGGAAAATTTTTAAAATTTATAACGAGTTGTAATTTAACAAGTATATATATATAGATTGATATGGTCATATTTTTAAGTTTATAATTACGCGCGCGCGCGCGCGTGTGTGTGTGTGTGTGTAGTGTAATATATATATATATAGTACATTTTAACATACTTTTAATTATATATATAATTTAATATATTTTAATATTTTTATTAGGTAATATACAAAGTAAATATAAATATAAATGTAATTAATGTAACTAATGCAATGTTAATTACATAATATTGTACATACATTTATTATATTTAGATAATGACAAAAAATAAAATTAATAACTTAGTGACATTTAAATTATTAATATATATTTATTAAAAGACTTGGATTAAAATTAAGCTAAAACATATACAAATCTTTTGATAGCATATTCTTAAATATTTTATTACATTAAGTAAGAAGTTTCTAACCTCTTGTAAAATAGAGATGTATTATAATATTTATACTATAAAAAAAATATAATACATATAATTATTTATATAGTTTATATCTTTATTATATAACTTCGCAAATACTTTAATATTTCTCTTTTATTCATTTATATTTCAATGTAATTTATCACACCTATCTGTTGATTCATTTTTAATTACATCGGTATCAAATATATCTTTAATAATATCTTGCTTTTTCTTCACGTGAGATGGTAAATTATGAAATACATTTCTTTCTGTCATTTGTTTTCTTTTTATTATATTAGGTTTTCCATAATTTTGATTTATAAATTCAATATTTTCATTGTTATCAATAGCTTTCATTGATGCTAATAACTTCTCTTTGTTATAATTAGTTATTTTTGTTTTTACATTATTTTCAGTTGTAATACTAACATCAGTTAATATATCATGAACTGAATCATTGTCAAGAGATTGTATATCATGTGAGACTATATCAATATTTTCCAATTCTTGTTTATTTAATTTATTTTTTGTTTCTAAATCGTAACTTTGAACTATATTTTTACTTTGTATTTCTACTTCTGTTGTATCTACTTTATTTGTTGCTCCTTTACTTAAATTGCTTGAAGAATTTAGTAAATCTTTTACAGAAGATTTTTTTTGTGAATCATTAAAAAGAATTTCATTTGTACGTGATATTTCTGGTTTAATACTAGACCCAATTACTGACTCTGACTCTGTGTTGTTAGTTTTCAATGATGTATCATGTTCATCTTTAGAATATGTTTGTGATAATAATTTATTTTCAAAATCACTTTTTGTAATACTTGGATCATTAAATTCTTGTGTTTCAGTTTGTTCAGTTATATAGTTTCCTATATTTTCTGAGTTTTTACATTCCGTTTGAACATCATGTTGAGTATATATATTTTCATTCTCTACATTTTTAGTTTGTATGTGCATTTTATCAATTAAATTTTGATAAACATTTTGTGATTCATTTAAAATATTTTTTGAACATGACAATTTTTCTATTTCTTTATCAGAATTATAGTGAACTTGGTTACCATCATACTCAGATGAAATAAGTGTATTATTTTGATGATTCACTGTTAAGTAATGTTCAATTGATTCTTTTCTTATTTCAGATTCTATTTCCGAGTCACTTTCATAGGAATTTTTTCTCTCTCTTATTAAAATCTTCAATTTATCTCTATATTTACAATCAGAAAATGTTAATTCCTTCGAATCTGAAGTATCATCTGCACTGCTAATTAACCTAAAAGATAATAAAATATATTAAAATTAAATAACTAATTTAAATAAAAATAAATGTTTCAAATCATATAAACCTTGCATGCAATTGTTTAGTTGCATTCTTATAATCATTTCTGCCATTTTCATTTTCATTCTCACTTTCACTACCTTCAGATGAACAGATCAAATTTTCATATTTTTGATTGTTATATATTTTCCTAAATTTATCTGCGCTTGTTTGATATCTTTGAGTCTCTTTTTGTTGGTTCTCTAATTGTTCTGATTTTTCTAAATCTACTGAAATCTCTGAATTTTTGTTTATAGTGAAATCTAGTTCCTTAGATTTTGCTAAATTATTTGATGTATTTCCGTATGATGATTTTTGAAGACGATATTTTCGTACTTGTTCCAAATTTGTCATAGTTTCAGATTTTATATACTCTAAAGTTTGATTTGAATTTACCCTTTCCTCTGTTTTAATCTTATCATTTAATTCAGATGTATAAAATATGGGCTGAAAGTTGTCAAAATTGATTAAGTAATATTTATCTTTAGAAGATATAAATATTATAAAATTATGCAATAAAATTAATCTTTACCAAACTGTTTTTTTGAATATCTGTTTGCCATTTTCTGTTTTTATCTGGTATTTTTAATGGATTTGATGAGCTGAAAGAAATCATTGAATGTGAAAAAACGATTGGTTGCAATTATTAATTATATTTTTCACATACCTAATATCTCTTAAGTTTGTAAGAGATTGTGTGCCAAAACGTCGATTCTTATCGGGAAACAATAATTGTCCATTATAATATAATCTTCGTTCTCTATTATCTAATAAATTTTCTAAAGTTTTTAATTTTTCTGCTGTTTCATCTAAATATTTTTGTGTTTCTTTTCGTTTAGAAATTTCGAGATGTAATTGTTGTTTTAAACTTTTCGTTTCAAGGGTCAATTTTTTATGTAGTGTCTAATAAAATAATTAAATGTATGAATATAATGTAAGAAATTACAAAAAGTTACAAATATTAAGTTACCTGTATAGTATTTTGCTGTTGTTGTATTCTATGATTTAAATCAGAAACTTCTAATTGTAATTTTTCCCTCTCTCCCAAATTACGATCTTTACTGAGTTGTAACAAATGTTTATTTTGTGACTAAGAAATAATACAATATTGATATTTTTATTTCTTGTTTGAGAACATTATATATATTTATATTTACCTGTAAATGTTGAAGCTCATTTCCTTTTTCCTTTAATAAATCACAGGTTTCTTTTTGTAATGTTTTTAACTTTTTATATTTACTTTGAAGTACTCTTAACTCCTCATGATGAGAATTAATAATTCTCGGAAGTTCGGCATTTGTTCCTTCATAACGTTTTAATGCAGAATCTTGTCTTTTTTGTAATGCTTTTAATAACTTATTTTCATTTGCTAATTCCTGTGGAAACATACAATTATTCAGTATGCCTATAATTAACATATACTTATGATATATATATGAATTTTAAAAATATGTGAGTTTATATGATATAATATTTGAAATCATTACATTCAATTGATAGTGTGCATCAGCTAACTGATTTTGTAGTTCTTTAATGCGTAACATTTTTGCAGACAAAACTTTCTGTTCAATGCTACTTTTATTAAGTTTTGATTGTTCTGAAGAAGAACATTGTCGAACATTACTTTGGTATGGCCGTCCTGTATTTTGAATATCAATATTAAAAAATTATTTTAGAAAATGAAACAATTATTTTATTAATTATCAAAAATATTAATAAAACAATCCTTATATTTTATTTATAATATAATTTAAATAAAAGATAAAAGTTAGAATTTAAATGTTAAAAATAATATAAATATATAAAAAATTCTATATTCTAAAATGCTATATTAATTCTTATTAAAATTTTAATACAAACCAAGTAAAGGATGTAAATTTTTTTTCTTAGATGAAAAATATGTTATATTTTTATGAGATAAATTAATTTTTATTTCCTTTGATAGTCCTCCTAAATTAGAATTTTGGTTTCTGAAAATTATATATATATATATATAAAATTCTTAAAAATTTATGTAATTAATATTTCTTTGTTCATGCTGAGAATATTTTAAAATACAGTTTAAATATATAATAAATACATAAAACATACAAATATAAAAAAAATTAAATAAAAGGAATCAAGTCATACAACAATATATGTACACATATAATACAAATAATTGGAATATTTGTTATAGATGTACAATTACTAAGAATAAATTTTATAAATTAGAAATGTTCTACTGATAATATAAATTAATTCATTGTAATTTAAATTATAAATGTACAAAAATATCTTTACAAATATTTGACATCTTTGTGATTACCTATTGAGGTTCTTATGGGTATTGAAGTGTACTACAGGTAACGTAGGAACTTCAGTTTGCATGTTTTATTTGCAAATTCTACATCACAACTAGCATAGTTTTTATAAGAACAAATTATTATATTATTGTCCAAACTTATTCAAGACGAATCGGCATCCATAGTTGTTTTTAACCAGTTTCCAAGGTAACCAATGCACAACATTTCTCTAATCAATGTTTTTTGGAGTTATATGTATTTAAAAAGATCTGTTTAAATATTTACAGTGTTTATACATGAAGATGCATGTATGTATATAAAAAATGAAGTATTTCAATTATATTTAAAAATATTTATATGTATATTTATATATTCATATTTAGTTTTTTGTAATAAATCTATATATACATATAGTAAAAAGAAATAATAATTTTTACTTATGTTTTTATTTTAGTTTTGTTGATTATTTGGTTTTCAAACATTAATTTTTATAATAATAATGTTTTAGAGATTTAACTACAAACATGATATTTTATAGCACTAAAAATACTGTATATAATGCACATGTATTATTATATTATAAATTTTTATTATTACAAGTTCTAAATATATTTATTTCTAATGATTTGCCTAATTTACCATTGCTAGTTGTGTTTATAATATATAATAATACAATAATTAATAAGTGTTTATCTTGCATAATATTAATTTTATATTTTATATTTTTAGTAATATTAATTTTATATTTAATTAGAACCAATCAATTTTTAAAAATATTTTTAAATCGTTTTGTTGTAGTCTGTCAAATACAAAAAATTATTGAAATAAGAACCTTTTTTCGGTAACTAAACTTCTTGATATGTTCAAAATATTTCAAATGGTTCATTCAAGAATGTACAGATGTTATTACCTGTGCATTATACAATTTCTGTTTTAAACTCCTGGAGTTCTACAGTTATCTTTTTCTTGACTAGATTTGAGCATTCCCATATGTTGTGTTTCCCACAATTTGTAATATAAAGAGTTTGGCATAGCTAATAAAGAATCATGTGTTCCTCTTTCAATTAAACTACCATTATCTAATACAAAAATTTCATCTGAATCCATAACGGTAGATAATCGATGGGCTATAACAATAGAAGTCCGGCCAACGGTTGCTCTACGTAATGCTTCAAGAATATTCTAAAATTATTTCATTAAAGTTAGATATGTATAATAATAATATTTAATATATATGAAACTTACATGTTCTGTAATAGAATCTAAAGATGATGTAGCTTCATCAAAAATTAGTATTGGACTATTTTTTAAAATTGCTCTAGCAATTGCTACTCGTTGTTTTTCACCACCACTTAATTTTAAACCACGTTCTCCAACAGGTGTATCATATCCTTTTGGCCATTTAAGAATTGAATCATGTAAATTTGCCATTTTGGCAGCTTCAAAAACATCCTCTTTACATCTCGATAAATTACCATAATGGAGATTATAAAAAATACTTTCATGAAACAGAACAGTATCCTAAAATTATTTATTCATTTTAATATTGTAGGAATATATTATTAAATCTTTTTTGAATCTGATTACCTGAGGAACAATTGCTATTGATTTTCTTAAATTATTCAAATCAATATCTTGAATATTATGTCCATTTATAAAAATGCTTCCAGATTGTGGTTCAAAAAATCGATATAATAATCTTATTAATGTTGTTTTACTAAAAAGTGTATATTGCTAATCAGTGTTTTATTTTTATAAAAATTATATACATAGTACTTAATTGAAACATACCCACAACCAGATCCTCCAACAATAGCAATTTTTTTACCACTTGGAATAGTAAAATTAATATTTTTAAAAATAGACTTGCCTTCAATATATTGGAAACTAATATTTTTAAATTCAATATCTGAATTTTTTGAAGTTATATGAAATTGTGTTGCATTCTCTTTGGACTAGTATTATATTATAAAATATATTATTAATCATTTATAAATCATGTACAATCATATTTAAATTATTTATAAATACCTTAATAACAATATCCATTGTCATCAAAGTAAACATAGTTTGCATATCAATAAGAGCCTGTCTAACTTCACGATATACTGAGCCCAAAAATCCCAAGGGAACTGACAATTGGAATAAAAGTCCATTAACCATTACTAAGTCTCCTACTGTCATAGTGCCTACAATTGATTCATTTAAAAATTATATTAACATTGTTAATACATTGTTATATATATATTTCATATATTTAAAAAATTACCCTCTATAATATTATTTGATGCTAATACCATTATTAAACTCAATGCAGCACTAAATATAGCATTTTGTCCAAAGTTTAACATTGCTAAACTAGTAGTTGTCTTAAGTGATGCAATTTCATATTTCTTTAAAGATTCGTCATATCTTTCAGCTTCAAATTTTTCGTTGTTAAAATACTAATATGAAAGATATAAAAATGAATTATTTATACAATATAAAAACTAAAATTATGTGGAGTATAAATATCTTAGTTACAAAAATAAATTGCAAAATATACCTTTACTGTTTCATAATTAATAAGTGAATCTATTGCTTTATTACTTGCTTCATTTTCTGCTTGATTCATAAAAATTCTAAATTTCGTTCGCCATTGAGTAATAACTAATGTGAATAAAGCATAAATTCCAACACAACCAAGAGCAATAGTTGCATATTCTGCTCCACATTTTAAATATAACACTGTACTGACTAATGATAATTCAAAAACAGTAGGTACAATATTAAATACCATGGCATTTAATACAAAATTTATACCACGACTTCCTCTATCTATTGTCTGTAAAAATTTAAATTAAATAAATGATCATTTCAAATAGTAGAAATGAAAACAATATTAAAATTATTTATCTTACTTTTGATAATGCTCCAGTTTGTCTACCCAAATGAAAAGCCATATCTAAATTATGCAAATGTAAGAATACATTTTTGGCTATTTTACGAATAGAATGTTGAGCAACTTTTGCAAATACTGCATTTCTCAATTCACTAAATCCAGCTGCACCAGCACGTGCTATTCCATCTGTTTTAATATAATAACATTAATACAAAATATCTACTTTAAATTTGTAGATTTCTATAATAATAATAATAATCTATATAATTTACGTACATCCAATAAGTAATGATATTGCAACAGTTGCCACTGTATCTGATGCACTTCCAAGACTTAAAATGGCATTACCAGTAGCTGCCATGTGTTGGGTATTAAGAGTATCTATTGTATATTTAAAAATAAAAGGCACACCAACATTTAAAACTTTTGCACCAACAAGTAAACCAACAGCTATTTTAACTCTTTTCCGAATATCTGGATTATCCTATAATATAGATATATTTATATCATTGCAATATTAATTAGATATTTAAAATAACTTACTTCTGGCCAAATATATCTAAGCATTGCTTTAATCATATTTGCAGATTTAATTGCTTCTTTTTCTTGAATATCAATATTTTCACGACTTAAACTAGATACACCAGGATGAAAACAATCTCTTTTTGGTTGTCCTGATTTCCCTCCAATAAATCCAGGAATTATCAATGGAAATTTCACAGAACTTATAATAGACTTTTTTTTGCGTGTACGATCAATTACGTTTCCACTGCAACACTATAAAATAATTGAACTATATTAAATGTTAATAAAAAAAATATGATTAACCATATTAAAAATTGCTTTACATATTATTAATAATTTGTTAAATACAAAGAATTTATTCAAAATTATAAATAAGTGAAAATATATATTATTTCAAATAATGAAAAAGCAAATAAAATTTAATAATATTAATATTTTTATTTGGTTATTATAAAATTATAAGTTATTTTAATATGAATCGTACAAAAGCCAAACTAATCAATTTTATCAAAATTAATTATTTGGTTTTTAAAAAATTGAAAATTAGTCATGTATCCTAATGAAATGATAAAATTTTCAGAACATAAAATTTATTAGTTTGGTTTCTGCCTGACTCTCATTACAATAAATATCTTAATGTATTATAACAAATATTACATATTACAATTTATTATTTTTATCATAATTAATGAAGTATACAAAGACTATTATATGATTCATTTAATATTGTAATATATTCTTCTATAAGATTTACTGCAATTGAAAAACCCTGTGTATGATATTTAAGTTCTTTCATACTGATCAAATGATTTAATAGTTCATTTTTTTTCAAATTTAAAATTAATTTTGCCATATTATATATATATATTTTATCTTCTGATGTAAGAGAATTTCCATATATTTTTATATTCCAATGATCCTTCTGTAATTGTGTATTCATTATAAATAATGTACATATTGCATTATAATTTAAGCCATCTCTTATAAATGCCATATTTTTTTGTAAATTATTGGAAATAATGAAATCTAATTTAAATTTCGGGATATCAAAACAAATTTTTATATCAGAAATATCGAAATAAATTTCATCTAATGGATTATATGGTATAAAGAAACCATAGTGGATGTATAATTTAAGACTATTATGTGCACCATAATTAATAAAAACTTGTGACTCTGAATTAAATGAATTTAAAGTATTAATTTGATAGAATTTATTCCCATTTTTGTTTGTAACTACAGATGCGTGTATAGTGCTATATATACTGTGATTAAATAAATCTAAGAAAGGTGCTAAAGCTAAATTATTTGGATGTTTTATATTAATATTAATATTTTGATTTGTCTCGATTTCAGCTTCATCTATGTATATAGCTCTTGTATTAACAATATAATATGCCCATTTGTACTTTTCAAACGTGATTATTTTTTTAAGATGTAAATTACAATGAGAGCAATGATCTTCTTTATTTAACTTTAAATTATTTATAGATTTAATTAGTAATCGAAAATCATTACATACTTTATGAAACTCATGCATATAATCTATAATAAATTTTGGCAATAGATTCTTTTCTTTTTGTGTACAAAAATCTGGATTTGTTAAATTTCTTGGTAAACTATTGATGTAATGATGCCACTTTGATGCATTTCCTAAATGTGATTCATATGTAATAAATGCTGCTAATACACACTGTGCACTATAATGGTCAATATTTGAAAATAAAATATTGACATTGCTTTGAGATAATATAGATGTTGTTATTAAGATTTCATAAGGTAATTTGATTAATATATCATTGATTTTAATATCTTTCAATGTTTTTAATCCTCTACCAGTAATAAGAAAGTTAAATGGAGTAAGATTATAAACTGATGAACAATTCTTTGTTAATAACCAAGATTTAAGGTGCATCAAACTGTCTTCTTCATTTTCTGTTATTTCTTTAATGTTTAGCTTCTTCTTTTGATGACGTTTTCTTGAAGTTCTACCCATTATGTAAATGTTATATCTGTAGAAGCAATAAAGAGATGCTTTGAAATAAGTATCTGCTTAATTATCATTATTTAATTTGTTATGTGTACACTTGGTACAATAATAATTGAAGAATTAACAAACATCCGATATTTCAAAGAAACATTGTTATAAATTCTTAACGTAATAATATTTTATGAAAACAATACATAAATTATATACAGGAATATTACCCTAATTCCAAAGGCAGAGTACATTGGATTACGTGTCAAAGTGTAAGATAAAACTCCTTCGTGATAAATAATTTGTCTTCGTGATTTAATTGAACATGTCATAAACGATCTGCTCCAAAGTTTCTTTTCATTATAACCAATTCGTAACATACGGTGACATAGAATAATGTTTAACATTATGATGAAAATATTTATTCACAAATGGAGATACAAAGACAAAATTCACAAATTAGGTTATTAGATCATGATAGAAGTGCAAGTCCAATAACCTATACCTGCTATGAAATACTATACATATATTTATTACATCATATGCCTATTATACTATATATATTATCCATCTACAAGTATATTATATATACTATCCAGTATGTATGTTCACATGTGTACATGCAATGCAAGAAATAAATATTATTGTTCTCTTATCAGACTATATGAAATTCAATCACATTTAAATATTAAATTTTTGCATATTTATAATACATTTTTTTGAGATCTGACAATTTAAAATATAATTATAAATAAGCTTAAACTTCATGAAAATAGACATAATATAGATCCTGTAACATGATTTTCAATCCGATTCCTTACGCATATAATAAAGTAATACCTTCTTTTTCATAAAAGAATTCTTGTGTTGCTGTATTTCAAGTGAAGACTTGATAAAATATATTATAAAGATATGTACAAAGGTGTAGATATATATTCAGTAATTTTGCATAATGAAAAATGAATAACTTCTTATATCTAAAGACAAATCACATGATATCTTTCAAGAATAAGGTCAAAAGTGAAAGCTTAAAATGTTAATCATGTGCGTTATACCTGTTGAATATGTGACTAATGTTAACATCGAGAGAAAACGAATTCCACAGTTACAAAGTGCAATACAAAAATGTTTACGAAGAAAATTATATTTACTTTATTGAGAAATGGAAATGTAACCAGAACAATCTTATGTAGTAATTATAATGTGTATTGTGAAAGACAAAGAAATGTACATATTTCTATACAAAGGAAATTTCATTTACATCAATTCAACAAGGTTGAAGCAAAGCTTGCAGGAAATCAAAAACCAGATTGGAATAGAGCTGTTTCAGAAGCAGAGAAAATTGTTGGATATCCAACATCATTTCTAAGTTTACGATGGCTTTTAAGTGATGAAATAGCGAATGTAGCTTTGCATTTGAGGAAACTAGTAGGATCTAATCATCCTTTATTAAAAACAGCCAAGTAAGCATTAATATGTTTCTTATAAATCTACAATGGTATTAATTTTTTTCATCAAATTTATTATAGAAGTGTTATCTATAATGGACGTAACAATATGCAAGCATGGGGTCTTATTGTATTATTAATTTCAAAAGCTGCTGGTCATTTGGGTGTAGATGATATGGAAGAAGATAAAGCTGTAGGTGTATTGCACAGGTATTATAACTTTTCATAGCACAAAATTTTTAAAGTTATATGTTTATAAACGAGTAATTAAACGAATTATTATTTAGTCAAAGAGCTTTAGCAGAAGTAACTGAAATGATACGTACAAGTCATCTTGTTCACAAAGGATTGGTAAATATAGAACCTGACGTCTATTTAGAAACATCTGAATTAAATGATATGAATTTTGGTAATAAAATTGCATTATTAAGTGGAGATTATTTATTAGCAAATTCTTGTGCTGAATTGGCAAACCTTCGCAATCAAGATGTATGTAAATAAATTATATTATATATTCCAATTTATATTAATTATATTTATTATATTTTATTACATGAATTATAATTATATTCAGATTGTAGAATTAATGTCAAGTGCTGTAAGAGACTTAGCAGAAGCAGAATTTGTAGGACGTAGAGATAACCAAAATAATCCTTTACCTTCTGTACCACCTGATGATCGCAAGGATTATGCAGTAAAGGAATGGACTCTTAGAAATGTTTTAAGTGCTGGTGCCTTGTTAGGAAAATCATGTAAAGGTACATTAAAATTAGCAGGACATAGCAATGAAATACAAGAACAAGGTTACAATTTTGGAAAACACTTAGCATTAGCTTGGCAAGCTTGTTTGGATTTAAGTCCTTTTATTACAAAAGATCAAAATGTAACATTCAATCTGTGTTCTGCACCAATTATGTTTCATATTGAACATGACCCATCAATTTTAATAGAAATTGATAAAGGTTTGGAATCTGTGAATAACATAGATTATGTTAAGGTAAGGACATTAAATGTAACATATAAATATTGTTTTTTATTTATAAAGTAATAATTTTGAAAATTCAATATGTAGATTCATAAAATTGTTATGATGGGGCCTGGAGTTGAATTAACAAAACAGTTACAAAAAAGACATTCACAAAGGGCAATGGAAGTTTTAAGTGTATTTGAAAAAAGTGATGCAAGAACGGCATTATGTAATATTATAGCAGCTATGGGAGACTTCTGAATAACTCAATTAAAAACTAATATATTTTATATATTAATATATAAAATATAATATAATTGCCCAAAGATCAGTTTCAGGACTCCGTCCCATGTTAAATTTTTAGTTTTAACACATACTCAAACATATAAAATTTATATTTTATTTATATTATGAAATATAATATTGTCAAATTTTAATATATATATATATAATATACATATATATACATATAATATATATATATAATTAAGCTCAAAATGGCAAATATGTATAATATATATAATAAGATTGGTACGTTTTATAATAAACAATATTTGAATAAATTTATCATTTATTTTTAATACCCTATTCCGTATTTGTTTTACTATTTGTTATTTATATTTATTTACGAAAACACAATGTATTTGTATATATACTGTATTTGTGTACATATTCTAATAATGACGAAATTATTTTAGTAAATTATTTTTATAAATCATTGTGTTTTATACGAATATTTCCTTGAATATTAAAATAGTTTATATTCTTATAACTATTTGGCAAATATTTATATACAATTCGGCAATTACAAATATATAAATTGATAATTTATTAATATCAACTCTGTCAATCATAACCGATTGAAGAACGGTATAGATATATAAATATGTCACGAGCAGGCACGAAACTCGATTCGAAAAAAGTTGTAAGTATACTATTACATTATATTATCAATATTTACAAAACATTTAAATCATATATTATTAAATTTTATTCTGTTATTAAATAATCATTAAAAAAAAAATAGATAAACTATAAGTGAGGTTAGAAATAATGTAACATTTGTATTATAATTTATTTCTGTATGAAAAATATATTAAGATATGATGAAAATTTGTATATAATTATAAATTTCAGAATTCTGAATTATTTACATTAACATATGGAGCATTAGTAGCTCAATTACTAAAGGATTACGAAAATGTAGAAGATGTAAACAAACAGTTGGAAAGAATGGGTTATAACATGGGAATTCGTTTAATAGAAGATTTTCTAGCTCGAACTGGGTCTGGTCGGTGTTACGACTTTCGAGATACAGCTGAGAAAATACAAACTGGATTCAAAATATTTCTGGGAATAACACCGACAATTACAAATTGGAGTGCTGCTGGTGATGAATTTTCTTTATGTTTTGAAGCAAATCCGTTGACGGAATTTGTTGAATTACCAGATCATTGTTTAAATCTAAAGTATTGTAATGTATTAATTGGAGTATTAAGAGGAGCTTGTGAAATGGTACAAATGGAAATTGCTTGTTGGTTTGTACAAGATCAACTAAAAAATGATAATGTAACTGAATTACGAATTAAATTTATTAAAAGACTAGAAGATGCTATTCCAGCAGGTGAAGATTAAGTGATCTTTTGTTATTAAAGGTATATATACTGTTATTATACATTATAAGATTTTACAATAATATTTATAAATACTTATAATAATATTCTCAATATATGAACAAAAATATTGAATATATATGTATAATGTGTATAATGTAATTTTATATGTAATTCTTTAGTACTTGGACATATTTTTAATTCTTTCTTGCATTACAGAGAAATTTTGTTATAAATATTTATTGATAAATATATTATGTGAAATTATATTATTTTCATATAATATATTTTTTTCAATATATAAAAATATTAAAATAATTTAAGTTAATATTAATAATTCAATCTTTTATATATAGTCAAAGCAGAAAAATGTAAATTAAATTATATAAACATTATTTTTACCTTAACTTTTAATTAATATTCATTATTAATATATAACATATAATATACTAATGTTTTGTAATTTTCTGTTTGTATATTCATAACCTCTAAAGTTGAATTACGTCGTTGTCATTTAGTGAAGTAAGATCAGCATGTGAATTAAATATTAACAGAAGAATCAAACATATTTGTAATAATCTTTTACAATAATCTTTTATAGATGATGGAAGTGAAGTGCAAACATTGTAGAAAAAATCTTTTTGATAATGAATGTATTTTATTATTTACTTCTCATCATGAAGTAAAAAAAAATCCTATGGATGTTGGATGTGGTGCAAGTGATTCGGAATTTTGTTCATATGTGTCAATGGATAAATTGCCTAAATGGATTGAACATGCTATCAATCAAGTAAAATTTCTTTAATATTATTAAAAATTTAGTATTATATGTAATTATATTCTTAAAATATTCTTCAAACTATTCAATATTGTATAAAAAATAAATGTCATCAGTGAAAATAATGCATATAAATTTTAAAATTTGTATCTAAAACCTTATATAAGATGATATGTACATCTTTTACAGGAATCTTGGACAAAAGGTAGACTTCATTGCCCAAATTGTAATAATCGTATAGGTGCATTTAATTTTATAAATGAATTAAAATGTAACTGCAATAAATTTATAACATTACCAATCAAAATAACTAATAGCAAAGTAGATATTTCGTTTCATTCTAAATAAAACTAATATATTCCAAATTGATCTCAAATAATGATTTTATTATTTAATAATAATTACATAATTTTGATTTCTATGCATATAAATTTTACAAAAATAATTTAGTAATTTAAAATATTAATATCTTTAGAAAATATATTTAGATAATTGAAAATTGTCATTAATATACTTATATTTGCAGAATCATTGACATTTCTTTGTTCAATTATTACATTTTTATGTATTTCATAAAATATGAATGTTGCAAGTAATACTTATTTTATTTGTACATGTAAATATAATTAAGTATACGAATAATCAATAACAATTGTCATTCAATAATTTTTATTTCAATAATGTAGAAGTGTGCAAAAACAAATCAAATTCTTTCTTATAAATAAATCATATGTAAATTATTAATTATTTTTATTTGACTTATTTATAATATTTTATTTTAAATATTTTTGGTTGCATATTTGGATGTAAATTACTTTATTAACAAATAATATTTATTTTACATTTATATATAACAATTGTATATATTTTAATATGTATATGTGTGTATATTAACATATATACGTACACATATAAATACTAAATATGGACATTTTATATATAGCACAATTACTATTTTATGCAATACAGTTAATAAGTTAATAATACACATTAAATAATTTTTATCTAAAATATTTACAGTTAATTATTAATGCATAGCATTAAAAAAGACTTGAATTGGTTGTTATGTTTTCATAACAAAGTGAAAAAATAAATTAGACCATACAGTATGTCTTTAATATAAACTATAAAATTTATTATTTTTCTTTCTATATATATTATGTCATTTTAAAATAAACTTATCACTTGTTTGTTAAACTTTAATTGTTTTTGCTATAATAATTTACAGCTGCTTTTATAAAATATACAATACAACAAGATATATAAATAATATAATATATAATAATGTGTATCCAGCATAATTACTATTTATATATAGCAAAAATAATATTATTAATGTAACAATGAACAAAATAGATAATATTAACAGGTACCATATTTTCTTTCATAAAATTTTTATTAACTGCATCAACGATAAATTTATATAACTCCAAAAATAATTACAAATAATTTATATTAACGTAATCAATAGAAATTTTATATTGTAAATGGAATAATCATTTTTATATTACTAATATACACTCTTTAAAAATTTGAACAAAATTATTAATAATTTTAACAGAATTATTTTAATAATAATTTAATAATTTTAAAATTTAAAGAAATCAATTCTATTAATATTTTAATATGATTCGTATTAAAGTCATTTGTGCATTAAGTACAAATTATTTTCAAACAATGATCTTTGGATATATTAAATTTTGTAATGAAAGTTGTTGATAACAAATTATAAATATCATTTATTTACAGTTTTAACTAAAAATTGAGCATTTATATTAATTTTAATAATATTTTGCATTATTTGTCACTAAAATAATTATTAGACAAGTTTTCTACAAACGAGCAATTTGTAATCCAAGCTATATATATTTATTTATCTAATTTTATATTCAATATTTTAAAAAATAAAATAGATTATATAAACAAAAAATAATATTTTAAGGAAGATCAAATAATAATTTAGAAACTTGTATTATAGAAGAGTATAATATTTAATTATATTAATATTTTAAATTATATTTTCTATAAGAATTATTTTTGTCATATAATGATGTTATAAAAGAAATAATCGAATTAAATTCTATATCAAAATTATAATCATTTTAGAAGTACATGTTATCATTTTCAATAAGATTCAATAAATTAAATCCATAGAAATTATAAATCTAATATCCCATACATAACATAAAATATTTTGTAAAAATAAGAAATAGTACACAATCGACTTGGATTAAAGGCACATATGGTTTACTAAGAAATATTGTTTGAACTATTTTAAAAATATGCTTGGACAATATGAGAGCTAGTTGATCCATGGTTGATAGTACTCAGACTACAAGAATAAAATGATCAATTATCTTTTATAAATATTTCTAATATTTATAATGTACGATAAAAGTATCATAAAAAATTTATGAAAAAAGAAATGAAACTTACAGTAATATTGGAGCAACCAATTTTGAATATGGAATAGTCTTTTACTATTTCCAGTATATTATTCAATATATCTTTTGTTCAAGCTCTTTAATGACATTGTCAATATTAAACATATTACAGTCTAATAAAATTTAGTTGCTACAACTGGAATATTTCATCTTGTTGCTGCTGAAGTCTTTGTAATGATGTTTTTACTTTTCTGCCTTGAGTCATAACTACGGCAGTTGGAAAATTATGCATATCACTAGAAGATGATGATCTTAATGGTTCTGAAGCAGATGGTATTGTATGTGTATTTGAAGTTATAGGAAGCGAGTTACGTAATTTAGATGTTCTATGCGATTGTACATAGATATCACTATCCTCAGTGCAAAATCTGAAGCATAATTCATTAATAAATTTATAAATGAAATTTTTTATAGTACAAATTGTGAATATACAATTAATATCTTTAAGAAATTTAATCTTTAATAAATAACTTACTCACTGTTCCCCTGAGTACGTTTAACTTCTCTTTTAGCATTGGCTATAGAAGAATCCATTTTAGCTAAAAAGTCATTAACTGAACTATCATCATCTATAGATGATGTTATTGAAGATGGACTAGAAACCTAAAAATATTTTAGACTTATGCAATATGAAATAATATTTTATTGTTAACATAAGATACATACATTTTGAACTATGTTATGTTCAAGTTCATCAGTATTGTCTAATGATAATGGATTTTCTGAATTGACAGGAATAAACAGATGTTCTCGCAAAAATAAACTATCAGAAGCCCATAATCTATTAACTCTTCTTATTTGTTCAGTCTAAAAATATAAAAAAAAGACACAAAATGTAATATAGATTTTTCATTGTTTTCTATCACTATTTTCTAATATACTGATATAAAATAGAAAAATTCATACTGTGACTCCATATTTTAGAGCAATTCCTTGGAGGGTATCAGTCGTTGATACAGTATGTTTTAACAAATTTTCATTTCGTGTAACATGTTTAGCTGTACTACCATATTTTTTTAGTGTCTTCCCAGTATCTCTTATGCACATTCGTTCTTCCATTTCTCTCGCGCCATTTCGTTCCATTCTTAATTTTTCAAATAATATCAACGCTTACAAAGCGTAACAAACATATCACTTTTTAATACTTATTAACAAGAAATTTGGATTTATTTTAAACAACATAATCACATAACCTATGTGAATATTTAACAGGACTGAATTCACATTTTATAATGTGAATAAATAAATCACTAGCATGAATCAATGTCTCTTTAAAAAAAAACAAAAAAAAATTATTTACTAAAACGTACCAAATATTGCTTAGTTGAACTTGAATTTTAATTATTTAACGAATTGTAATATCCTTCAAAATATAAGTACATATAAAATCATTGAAAAACATACATTTTACTTCGATATATTTTTTTTCGTAATATCTTATAAAATAATATCTTATAATATCTTATAAATTTAAAATTTAAATTACAATATATAACTCGTTATATCTACACTAAGAATATTCTGTCAGCTGATCAACGTGATAAAAATTTATATTCTTTAACCTGAATGATAATATTTGCTTCGTTTTGATTGGACAACCAAAAGGCGTTACATATGGACAAAATCGAGTCACTATATTTTAAAAAGAAACATTTGAAATAAATTACAGAGATAAAATATATTAACAGAGTATAAATTTTCTTGTATTTTATATATTTTATCAACATAATATAAATGATGTAGATTTTATTATTAAATCTTATTACATAATACATTTTACACAGATTTATATTCGAGTATAAACTACAGTTTGTATGTTCATTTATTAAATAAAAAATTGCATAATTTTTATTTGGACATTTTGATTTTGTGTTTTATAATGTATATATAATTTATGTAACTACATTTGTTGAAGGAAAAAAAATAATAGAAGTGGAATTAAATTTTAATAAAAACATGTTCATTATAGTACGTTACACAGTTCATCTATTTTTAAATACAATATATTACAGAGAAACACACAGTTATAATTTACTGTTATTAATATTATGTCTCTTACGTTATAATTAATTTATTACGATTATTATTATTGTTGTTGTTGCTTTTTTGTTGTTATTATATGCCAACCTTGATAAATATATAAGGTAGCATAAAAATCATATAATGGGAGACTAATTGATGTAGGACATTTTCGCGTAGTACGTCTTAATCTCCAGTAGCTGTGCAACAGTAACTGTAATATTGGTAATAAATAGTTAACATAGGGATAAATATTATGCTACTGCGGCAGTGTGCTTCCTGGATTCTGGGTAAGGGGTACTTCATCATCTAATTATCAGAACTATATCAACTAATATGCTACAAGACAGACCCCTTCCGCTATCCCAATTAATATTGCTACTTAGTGAAAGTTTCATCAATAAGCAGCATTTATATTTGAAATTACTGTTTTAATAAATGTTGCGGACAAGGGTTATGTGCAAATTTTGGTTTCATAATATGGATATCTATATGTCCAATCTGATTTCCTAAAGTGGTATTTTAAATGGTAGAGCAGTATAAGTTACAACAAAATTGGAAGTGTAACACGTATAGGTAAAACTATCTAGAAAGAATGAGTACAAAATCTGTTCCGCCTGATGTATGTTGATAATAGAAATGTGTATCTTGATTTACATATTACACATACACTTTAGCAAGAGCATCAGCTCCGGCACTTGCTATAAAAGGTCGTGAAGGATGAAATGCTACGTCTAAAATACTTTCGTCAAACTTTTTACGATGTGCCGTTATTTCTTGAACACAAGTCTTATTATCCATATTCCATAATCTTATACTGCAATCATGACCTAATGATGAAAAATTAATTATTTAATAATTTATGATGTATTATTTTCATTTTATAATTTAATATTACTTACTTCCTGAAAGTAAATATAAACCATGAGGATCTACCGCGAGACTAGTAACTGCATCCAAATGAGCAACCATGGCATGAGCAAGGGTGGCTGATCGGTGATCATAAAATCGAATATGTCGATCTTCATGTGCCGCAACGACAAGAGGTAATGTAGGATGCGCCACGACACGATTTACTCCCTTTGTTTCATTGGCCTCAAGACGAGCTACACTTTCACCAGTTTCCGTATCAAATACCACACAAGCTCTGTCATAGGCTACAACTAATTTATTTGATTCGTCTCTAATGAAATCTACTGACGTTGGTATGCCATCTGGAATAAGGAAAAAAAATATTTTTAGACGCAGCTATATAAAACATATTTTTAATAATCTGTGTTTAAAAAATATACCTTGTTCAGAAATATATGTATGAAGTAATGGTGATTTACTCTGTGGGCTCCATAATTTTACAGTTCCATCAGCACTAAATGATAACAATTGTGATCGAAGTTGATACATGCTTAAACCCCAAACTGCATTTGTATGTCCTTTTAATGTTTGGCTAAGGACACTTGGTTCGTAAGAATCGTATGGATCTATATTGGCTGATGGAAGTGTCCAACAGTGAATCATACCATCTAAACCACCACTGTAACATTGGCTGCCTGTACTACACATAGCTAGACATAATACAGGACCTGTATGTGATCTGAATGTATAAAGTGGTTCTACATCTAATGAAGCTGACCTGAAATAAAAGAATATTTTTCAGTAATTTTTATGAATCAATTGTTCGTAATTTCGAAATATAGGTACCCTACTTTTTAGCTGGTAAAGTTTTGTGAAGGTTCCATAATTTAAGTGTATGATCATCGCTTGCAGTTATAAGAACGGGATCAGTGGGATGGAAGACAAGAGCTCGAACAGCATCAAAGTGGGATCGTAATGTATATTTTGCATTCCATGTTTTTCTTAAACTTTCTTTTGTAGTGGCTACCATCTACACAAAATATATTTGATTTAAATATATTTACATTAAAAGTAAAATTAAGCTTTTATATAATTTTATAATGTAAGAATTATGTTACATACATCTATTCGTGGCAACAATGACAGTAACATAACCAATGTAACTCACATCATATGAAGTTTCTGCTTCATTGTTTACACATAATTGCTCTAATTCACCCAATTCTAATGCAGAATCACCTTCTTCATTTAGACGTTTTGGATCTGGATGTCCACCTCTACGTATTGCACCTAAAAAAATTTAATAAAATTTTAATTTCAATTAATAAAATATAAATAAAAAATTTATTAAGAAAATTATAAATAAATAAATTATAAATAAATACTAACTCCATTCAGACGAATAGCGAATAGAACCTGGCGGAGATTCTTCAATTTCTGTGAGAAGATTTAATTCATTCAATACCTCTTCAGCTTCTGCATCAACATCTTCTGTTAAAAGCATAGATGGCTAAAAGTTAGAAACAAACAATATATTATTTATTTAATCATTAATTATTATTAAAATTCATAAAATTATATAACAGTATACTAGAGAGAAATACACGCGCGCGCGCGCGCACGCACACACACATATATTACTTTATTTGGTTTAGGATCCATATTAGTATCATAAGTATCATCTTCCACATCTCCTTCTTCTTCTTCCATATCCATATCTGTGTGTGCCAAAAATTCAAAGTTTGCCATAACAGCTGCTTCTGTATCTAATATTATTGCTTCTGCTATAGATGATGGTTGCTAGCAATATAGGAATAAAAGACTTATTACATGATGAAAACTATTTGACAGATATCAGAAATATTATTATTACATATTTCAACTAAAATTTTATAAAAATTATAGAGTTATTATATATAAGCAACCTAATAAATAAAATAAAATAATTAAATTTCAATAAAATTATTTACCTCTACCTTTTTTCCTGGAATTCTACGAACACTATTTTCTGATGCTTGCTTATTTGATGGTTCATTGCCATTTAATGCAGGAGTATTCATATCTTCTGAGTCTGTATTATTACTTAAACCAAGTAAAGATCTCACTCTGCTAGATCGTACATCTATTATAGTATCAGTGTAACCAATTTCTTGTAAGTATCTAAAGTAGTAGTTATATATAAACTGTTAATAATATATCTATTATTTTATACACGTAAATATAAAAATCATATTTTATTTACTGTCTTAAAATTTGACGGCCTTGTCTCCAACTGATGTTACTGACAGATGTGAATGGAGCTTCTCCATCACCACCACCTCCAACATCAGAATTAGGACAATTACAAATACCTTCTTCATAAATAGGAGGTTTTGTATCTCCCTGTATTACCAAATCAGTGCCATATTTTAATTTGTGATACCTTGCTCTGTAAAAATATGACAGAAATATTATACATATATTTCTAATAATGAAGTTAAAATTCTTTTATGATTTTAATGAAAAAAAAAATCTCACCGTTCTTGTTTAAGTGCATACTCTAACATTTTTATTCTTCTTACTAAATCATTCTTTAATCTTTCTTGACCTTTTCTTTCACCTTGTAAAAATGCTATCCTAGCCTATAGAAAAATAATAACAAACTTTATATTTCTTTTAAATTATTTTTAAAGACTTACTTGTCCTTTTAATATCAGTTTTATATTCTGTATATATTTTAAATATTATATTGTAGCCTTTTAAATTCTTACATTTTATATTACAAAAAGATTATCAAAAGATAAAGTAGAAAGATAGAATATTAACGATTATAAAGATATAATATAAGTATAATATAAGTATAATATAAGTATAATATACATAGGATTTATGCAAATAATCTATATAAGTACTATCTATTCTAATATAAAAAATATAAGTTTAAATATAATAATTCTTTACTATAATAGTATAGTAACATTTATTATATTAAAATTTAAAACATAGTATTTCCTATAAAATATTCCTTGGTACAAATGAAAAAAATTTTAAAGTTAAATATATATACAAATTATATTGTGTATTGTTGTACATATTTAAAATACTCATGTTTTTACAATGTTCTGTCACATGACAGATGAAGTGACAATATGAAAAGAGTATTTTAAAGAAAAGTACACTGAGAAATTCCGAGAATTTTCCAAATAAATTAGCATTGTACCTGAAATTCTGCTTTATCAAGCTCCCATTGCGATCTTTCAAGTTCAAAGCGAGTCCATTCATGCTGAATAAAATGTAGAATACCAGGCATAGAGTATTGTGGTCTTTCATTCTTAGCATCGCCATTAGTACCATTTTCATTTCCTTGATGTTTATTATTTGTCAATGGAACATTCGCACCACTAGATAATTGTCCATTATGATTTTGAGATGCAGAACTGGAGTTCTCCTCCATCGTGGAACCACAAAACTGGCTCGGTACCTTCATTTCATGACACGGCAGCCATTACAACAACTTTTCTTTCTTTTGGAGCCTAAAGAGTGCTCTCCTGTCGAATAATGTATTTCGATCGAGTATGCGAAAAGAAGTAATTAATACGCATGCGAATGTATTTGATTTTAATGTAATTAATATTTATATAAAATATTATAGTTTGTTGTTTGTCTATCAAAATATATTTAATTGTTCAACTCTTCCGAAATAGCAGGCAAATATTCTCTTCTCTACACATTTTCGGAGTCGTACTTTCCTCCACCATTCTCATACAGTATATTCAGCTATATTATACTATGATCTAATACTGACTTTCTATGAAAGAATAATTACAATATAAATGAGTAAAAAATAAGTATCTATTACTGATTTGCGTCAAACGATAATTAAATAAACAAAAAAATGTAAAAATTTATTTCATTTTTTCTCCGTAGTATAATATTAATGTCATCACTTTATATTTAAATAATAATAGCATTAAAATCACAGTTGAGATGGAATTATAAATTATAAATCATTAAATTTTTTTATTAATAGTCATTTATTATTATTTAAAAGTATAATAGAAATTTTTATTTCGTATATTATGACATATATAACAAATACATATAATACATTCTTGATTTTTGTTGTAAGGCTGATTCTCACGATTGGAAGTATAACGATGACAAAGACATGACATTAAATTTGATTGCTTGTATAATAAATGTAAGGTTGACAATAAGACTAATGAAGTATCATTTTATAACTAACAATATGAAGTTCTATATTGCAATGTAAACATTTGTGTTATATAACAATATTATATAAAATGAATGGAATTATTTTATTAAAAATTATTACATTTTAGGAGGGAAGCTAAATGCACAGTATGATTTTTTTCATAATATAAATTTAAATATTACAATTTAAAATAAAATAGCATAAAAACATAAAAACTATATTTTCTATAAAATTAATATAACAGTATACATATTGATTTAAGCAAAGGCTATTATAATAAATAATAAATATTCTTATAAACATTTTTATTTAATATTTTTAAAAAATAGAAATACTTTAAGTACATTGTTATGGACCTAATTTCTAATAGACTAAGTAAATAATATTTCTAATAAAAATGACGTAATTAACATTACTTGTTGTTTCTTAAAATTAATTATGTTCTTATTTTTTCTATTTCAAATATTCTATATTACTTTAAGTATTTTATATTATATTTACATTTATATTATATTATATTTTTCTTTCTTGAAAAACATGTGCATGCATAAATGCATATTATATGTAAATGCATATATATTACAATAAGTTTTGTAATATGTAATATAAATAATATAAAGGTAATCTACATAACTAAAAACAACATATTTTTAGACTACATGTGAAATAGCATACTTCATTTTACTTTCATTTTTTATTATATTAGTATAAAATTTTACTACCATTTTAATGTTCATCTTTTTTCTTCATTTTAACAAAAAAAAAAAAGAAAGTAATTGTTAACCATTACATATATCATGAGCAATATTTGTAGTTATATGTATTTCCATAATATAATACTTTTAATGTTAATCTTGCTCTAAATTATAATCAGCATCATGTTTAATTAATATTTTAGAAAATATCACAAGATATTTGATCTTAACTTATGCTTAGTAATAAGCGATGTTTCTTGTGCTGCTAATAACATTTCTTCTAAAATGATGTAATATAATGTAATTATTATGTATGTATATTTTGAAGTAACAAGTAATTTTTTAAAAGAAAGTTTAAATATTAAAAAGAGGCATACCATGAATTTATTATTGATTATTATTTATTTCACGTATTTGTATACATTTTTTGTAAATAAAGTATACTTCAGTATCTAAACAGAAGTATTTTGCATACTTCAGCAAATAGTATAAGTTGTGAAAGTATTTTACACTATAGCGCATGCGTTATTAAATCTGAGACGTAAACTATCGTTTCTCTCTGCGTACGTCGATAGTTTTGCATATTTCTTTTAACAAAATTGAGTGTCTGTTAATTTTTAATTTAAAATATATTTTAAATACAAACAATTCGAAAACTACCGCGTTCATCTTAAACTTTAATTTCATCGAAATACATTGACTATGTTAACAGTTACGAATAAAAGTGGCAACATTGCTTGTCGCTTGTTTAGGTTGCGGTGTTGCAGATACTCGATGAACGAGTATCACAGTGTATCTTCGTTTCTGGCATTTATCGTAAATATAACGTTTTTTTATAAGACAAAGAGCATGTTCATCACTGATTGAAGACTTTCTGCATTATAACATAACGTAAGTTCACTTATATACACAATTACATGTTACTATTCAGGAGTGGGTCACTCAGATTTTTTGGTCTAAATTATTACATGACCCGAATTATAATATATATTTATTTAAAATTATAAAAGAATTAATTTTTTTCTAAATTTTACAATAAATACTTAGAAACAAAAATAAATGATTTAATTAATTCTTTGAAATTAAAAAATTTTTATTATTAATTGTATTTCGTTTGTACGTCGATGAGCAATTTGAATAATAAAACAGTATTTTGTACTATTAATGGTGCATTTAAGAATTTGGGCCTGAAGTCCCAAATGTAAAGATTAAATCTATTGTAGATGTCAAACTGTATATGTATATACATACGAATAGCTGCCATTTTATAGAGCATAGATACGCCATTTTGTTGTTTCGTCATACAAAATGAAAGCTAATAATATTTTTATATTGAATTATGACGCACAAATTATAAAATGGAATGGATAATATAAAATAAAATAAAATTTTTCAAAACTTTATTGTTACAATATTATAATATATTTTTTACTGTAAGAAACTATATATTTAATGATATTAATAATAATTACATTTATTATATAATTGACATATTATCTTATAAACTTATAAACTTGTACAATATCGTACTGTTACTATTTCTTTTATGACTTACTATATTATTGTATAAATTTTAAATGAGATAAATAATCAATATTTTGTTTTTAAGAAATATATAACAAAATTTTAATAAAAACAATATTTCATCTATTAAAAGTTCAAGCTATAAGAATAAAAATATTGGATCTATATAGATTCATAAAATCGATCCTTATGATTCGTGAAAGTACTTCTCCCACTCAATGAATTTAATGCTGTATTACCAGTATGACGCATGTTGACCTCGTAAGTGAATGGAAAGGGAAAGCAGTATGATTATTTATTAAATGTTTAAATAAAAGATCTTTGTAAATTATAAAACAATAGTCAAAAATAATATTTTTATACAAAATATTTAAATAATAGTATTTTCTCAGTATACATTGTATAGAAAAATATGTTCGTATAAAAATGCTGAAACACAAACTCTTTTACATTTACATCAATTAATTAAATTTCAATGAAATAAATTAAAATTGGAATGAAGCTCATAAAAATTAAATTTAAAATTTTTATAAAATTTGCATAAATATCATATTAATCATGAGACATTAAGTATCGTTAAGTAGTTAGCACACAAGGAAGGAAAGAGTAGAAGTACTTTTTATATAATTCAGCTCATATAATCTTAATTCGAAAGTAAAAAACTGAGTGCTATTTTGCATGTTGAAAATGTATTTTTATTGTGAAAACTTTATCTTCATTATTTATTAAGAATTAATAAATTTGGTATTGGTAGTGGAATATGACGCCATATTGCTTAACTTCGTGCGGAATCGTTGAATTTCGTTAGGACACATGTCGGGACCTATGTTCAGCAGTATTCGTTCAATAGAGAAGCTTGCCGAGAAGCCCGCCTTTCTAAATATAAATTTTTCATAGATTGAATCATAATTATTTAAATACATTTTGTCATTTTACATTAATCGTATCCATTTGTGTTGTGCATTTATATTTTATTTTATAAACAAACAATATTTTTGTCTTGAATTTTTTGAAGTTTGTCATGTTAGTGAGATAAAGAAAAAACAGATTTAACTTATTATGTCAAACCGTTTTTTTAGTGCGTTATTGGTATGAAATAGAAAATTATATTATTTTAAAATAACAATTGCACTTTTGTGATGATGAAGTACATTTGTTATTTGAAATACAATGGCGAGTATCGGTAATGTAGTAGCACTATCCGCCATTTTTATTAGTTGAGTACTCATGGGCCAGGGATGGTATATGTTGGGGCGCATTGAAGGCCCATATTTTGTTATTTGTAATTATTTTATAAAGAACCAAATTTTTTTATGCATGTTTGCACAAAGCCTTTATTGCTATTAGTCATCAATTTTTTGTATACGTTTGATGATATGTTTAATATTATCTTTAATCCCAAACTCAAAGACTTATAGTTCTTAATAAAAATAAAATAATTTAAGAAAAGAATTTAATATAAATAATTTTAAATTAAAAATTAAATCTATTTAAGATTTAACATTATTTAAACTGGAATGTTTTATCATTTAATTATGAAATATAAGATAAATCTTATTTTTATGAGTTTCATTTCAATTTTAAAGAATTATTTATTATGTATAGTCTATAATTCTGATGGTTTTAATATGGTTATTTATTATGATATTTACTGATTACAAAATTAAAATAATAAAACTTAATAAAGATAGAAATAAATAATATATATCTTAAATTATTAAAATATTGTATATTGTTCTATTATGTATTTGCAATAAAATTATTAATTAAAAAAGTTAAGTGAAGTTAAATGTGTAAAAGTTTTGAAATATGTTGGTGCATATATAATCAAGTATACAAATACATAAAGTTAATATTTGTTATTTTCAAATGAAGTTATTAAAAGAAATCACAAACTAAAAATTATTAATTACAGGTTACAAAACATTAAATGAATAGTTTGTGATATTGTCATATTATCATGGATGTAAGAAATGATCTATTACATTCTTCTGACTCTATGCATTCTTTGTCTTGTATTAATACACATAATATTGATGAGTTATCAAAAGAAAAAGAAGAGGAGCTATTATATGGTACAGGTGATGATGGTGATGAAGAAGATGCTCTTTCAGATGATAGTATGCGTTTAAGACTCTCTGATGATGAGATTGAGACAGAAGATATTTTAACTTCTGTTTTAAATAATCAAGAAAATACATCAAAAATAAATGAAAATGGTAATCATTATAAATGTATTATTAATTAAAATAGTATTAAAAAAAATTTAAACAATTGTTTTATGTAAATTACAGAAATGACATCTACAAAAACTGATATGGAAATTTTATCTATTCAAGAAAAAAATATTATAAAGAAGAATGTAGGTGGGAAGAAGGAGGAACAGTGTTCAGATAATGATTCTATGGATGAAAAGATATTAATTGATTATGAAAAAATTGTTAAAAAAGGAGAAAATGAGGAAACAAGGAAATCAGGAACAGTTAATGTTTCTGCTCCATGGCAAAGTTATCAATCACAATATAGGTATTTTAGATCTCCTAACAGTCATTCTTTTCGTGGTATCAATCAAAGATTCCGTCATATGACACCTAGAGGACGTAGATTTCATTCGTATGACTATAATTTGAGATTTTATAGTGGTTTTCCTCTCTTTGAACGAGGAAGAAGTAATGGGATATTTCATTCATACAGATCAATTCATGGTAGTAGATATCAAAAAAAAGGCTTTAGATCTAATACAACGCAAAAGCAAAATAGATCGACAGATCTATATCAATATGATCAAAATTCGACATCTTCATCAAAAAAAAATATATCTTCAAAATCTCAAGATAATGATATTGAAATTATAAACATTAATGATAACAAGACAATAGATAAAGCTAATACATTATGTAGTGAGCCTTTAGTTAATAGCAAGAATGATCATTCAAATGAGTCATTGAATGAAGAAGTAGAGAACATTTCTGCTAAAAGTTTCAAAGAAAAAAGTATTGTTGACACACATTTTGCCAATAATTCATTAGAATCAAAACATAATTTGGAAGAAAATTCAGAGATAATATCATCTAATGACACTAAATGTAAAGATGTTACAGTTCATACTTTGAATGATAATTTCAGTGAAAATTCTGCACATAATTCTTATGATGATAATAGCAGCAACCAAAAAAATGAAATAAGTAAAAATGATATAAATAATACAAATAGTTTTAATGATTTTTGTATTTCTGACAATTCCAAAAAAGTGGAAGCATTGAACATAAATAAAAAATGTGAACCTGATAAAGATGAAACTATAAAACATACTGAAGAAAAAAGTAATCAAGAACAAAATAAAAGTATAAATAATGAAGCACAAAATAAAACAGTTGAAACAATTGATACAAATAAAAATAAAGAAAATAAAGAAATTTATGAGTTAAAAGAACAAGAACTTAACAGGAATGAAGAATTAACAGATCTCAGTCAAAAAATAGATTTATCTGGAAACAATTGTAAGATTACTGTTTTAAATTCTTTAAAGGAAAAAGAAACAGTAAATAATGATATAGTATTAAATGAAAAAGATACAGATCATAAGAGAGAAGAAATTTTTAAAAATAAAAAAAAGGAAATTTTATTTGAAAATATAAAATTAAAAGAAAATCATGAAAACAGTAATTCTAAATCGGCAACTATATTAAATGATGTAATTAATGATAAAAATAACGTATCAGAAAAGCCACTTATTGAGAGTGAAAATTGTAATAATCAATTAAAAGGTAGTGATAATAGTACAAATTCTATTAAAATTAATAAATCGAGTTCTTCTGAAAAACAACTAACTCATCCTAAAATTGATCTTTGGAAAAAAAATAAAGATATTGAAAAAGATATAAATTCTACAAAAAAAGAAAATTCAATAGTAACTTCTACAAGTAAAACAAATGAAAACACCGAATTGACGTTAAATAAAAATAATTCATCTAGTATAGAATTAAAAAATGATTTATTAGGTTTTGTTACTAATACAAAAAATAATGATAGTGATAAAAGATCTGTTAAAGTTCTTGTGACTACTCAAAAAAGAAGAAGAAGATCAAAGAAAGAAATTCTTGCAGCACAAGGAACTATTTGTGAAGAAGGAAAACAAGGTAGGATGTAGTAGATAGGATTGAGTAGATAGGATCAAATTAGGTACTGTTTTTTTTTAGAAAAGAATTAAGAAATTTTTGTTTCTTAAATCTATAAATTAAGCTTTTATTACAATATTTTATTACAGTAAGGGAAAGTGGAAGGCAAAAGAGACAAACAGCTAAAAACGCAGAAGAAATAATAAGAAAAAAATTTCTTACTTATGACAGTGAGGTAGACTCCAGTGATGATTCAGAAAAGTTTGTACCTGTAAATTATAAAATGAATCAAGATGCACGTCCTTTATCACCACCTTCATTAAAAAGGATTTATTCTGATAATGCTGATAATTCTATTATAAATGGTGGTGTTAAAAAAATTAAAACAAATTTTGAAGAACGATGTGATGAATCAAAAACGGAAGAAAATAATTCTGAAAATATTAAAAAACTTAAGTATATTCATAAATTTTTTCAAAGAGATTTAAATGAAAAACTGCCAAAATTAAAGCAGGAAGTATGTTAAAAATGTAAAAATTTTAATTCATTATTTTAGTAATAAAAAATTTTATATATTTCAATGATAATAATTTCTTTAAGGAATTAGAAGAACTTCTGATACAAAAAATTGTCGAAACAATTACTATGCGCGACGAAATTGGTAAATTAAGAGAACAAGCACGTATATCGGAAAAAAATCAAGAAGTAACTCGTGCAAAATGTCAACAATTAGCTAAACAAATTAAAGATTTTGAAATGGTATTAAGCCGTAATGCGGCAGATCGACGTGCGAATAACGACAAATCTATTCCACCAATTAAAATCAATAGATCTGTTGGATTACAAGTTAATTTTATAACGGTATATACAACCATTTTATTGAACTATATATAATTTTATAACATTTAATTTTAAATTTATTTTATTGCAATGTTTGTTTATGTAGGATCATGGAATGCAAAATTTGAGGCAATTACAACAAAATTCTAATATGAAGTCTTTAAATGTTTCAAGTAATAATAATACATTAAATACTTCTATTAATGAAACAAATAATGCATCCAGTCCTAGGAGAGGTATTAAAATAAGATCACCTAGGAGAACTGAGCCAATAATTGGACAAACTCTTGGAGTATCACAAAATTCTACTCAATCTCCAAATATTATGACTACAATTACTCCTGCAGCTTTAGTTGTTGCTAAACCTGTAGATACTCAGCATTCTTTAACATTATCTAATCAATCTAATGTTCAACAAATTATGTCAAATGTAAGTGTATAGTAGAATTTTTTTATTTTTATTACAAATTTAATAACAAAAAATTTTTATAGCCACAAGTACAATCACAACAATCACAGCAAGCTATAGTTTTAAATGGAAAATTTCCAAATCAGATAAATCGTCAAGGAACAACTACAACAAATATCACAAAATCTCACGCAAATGATTTAATTGATCTCACAGATGAAGAAGAGAAAAACAAAAGTATTAAATTTCATATATTTTTCTTATATATTTTATGGTAAATGCGTTAACATATGCACTAGAGAAATTTTAATAATTTACAGCTACTGGTATACCAGTTGTAACAACTACAGTAACTGATCAACAAGTAAATTTAACACAAAAAACACAACAGCCTTGCTTTCAAAGAGTTATTCAGACTATTCCTGGGAATGTAGCCATAACAAGTCAACCTCCTAGTATAAGAGTAGTACAACCTGCTAGTCAACCAACACCTACTGCCTTAGTGGTAAATGAGCAATAAATTATACACGCATAATAATGACATTTAGTATTTATATAAATTTATTACATGCTTATATATTTCTTAGAATAATATGAATGCGCCTCGATTAGCATATGTGATGCAAAGTGGCGTAGGACCAACAAGGCAATTATTAATAGCACCAAATTCCAGCCCGGTAAAATTTTTGTTATATTTTTATTAAAATGAAGTTAAAAAAGATTCTATAGTAAGTTTATAATTTTCTGATAAAAATTTTTAATCATAGATACGGCCAGTAACTTCATGTAGAGCTTCATTTCCAACTTTAACGTACAAAACGGGTAAGCAGTGGTTCAGTTGAGTAAAAGGTGTAAATAATATATGGTTGTAATAATCTTATTTATAGGAATATCAACAATTGCAAATGGAACAGTTCGAGTTTTGACAACTCCAGCTACTGCAAATGTACAGTTAAATAAGGTACTGAATTAATATTTTTTGTTTTAATAAAGTTATCAGTTTATAATTATATTATTTATTTTAGCATCCTGCACCTTTACCAGATATACGGAATTATGCTGCAAATCCTCTTTGGAAACTTCCACCGCCAGCTCCTTCATTAAAAATTTCTAAGGTTGCACATGGTATGTTATTCCTAATTTATCCTTATTAAAAATATTAATAGAATGTAAAAATTTATTATTATTATCTAGGCATAGTATTATCTTGGAATATGAATTTGTCGGATAAGCATGCAGATATTGTTAGTTATCAGTTGTATGCATACCAAGAAATTGCTGGTGTTCCTCCTAATACATCATTATGGAAAAAAGTAGGCGATGTTCGAGCTTTGCCACTGCCCATGGCATGTACACTTACGCAGGTAATTTGAACAAATAGTGTAAATTAGAATAAATTCTATAGATACTTGTAATATTTTTTCTTACAGTTTTCTGAAGGCAATAATTATTACTTCGCAGTTCGAGCAGTTGATACACATTCCCGGAAAGGACAGTATAGTATACCCGGAAACATTTCTTTATAAAGTATACGATAAATTTTAAGTTATAAGTCAATGTTATTTTTAACGCACAGTTATAACAATTCATGACTCATGTAACAACAAATCCCCCTTTTACATTATCGTTTAATTTATTACATTCATTATGTGTAAGATACATTTAATGGAATTACAGAAATGTTTATAATGGTTAAGTATGATGTATAGACTACACATACATACAAACGAATTTGTTGTATAGTAGTAAATATCCATTTAATTGTAAGTAATTCATACAATTCTTGATAACTATGATATAATTATAGCTAACGTATTTTTTTTGTTCTTTTTTATATATTACTTAGTTTATGAAATCAAAAAATACAAATTTTAATTTTGACAGTATTTAGTTTACATCCTTACGTCTTTGCTCACAAAATTTCGTGCCATGTCTTATAAATTTCGTGCCATATGTACTATCATTTAATAGTATTATAGATATTATTGTATACTGTCATTTCTTCAAATCTCTAATAGTATACAGTAATTAATCATTAAACACATTAAATTATTTTGAATTTTAAATATCGAGACAAAAACAAGACAAAATACTCTAGTCACAATGAATTTTTGTAATAATTATTTCAATTTACCTTTCATAAAGACTGTTACAGTTGGAATCTATACACTTGTATAAATCTGCTATTGATATTATTATGAAAGTGTTCATAAATATTGCTTCCCTCTGTTTTATATATAAAATATCATTTATTTTCATCTTTGATTAAATTTACTTCATTTTCATTGTTTCTTATAGTACATAAATCTTGCTATATATCATTTGCTCAATTTTGATACAATTGTAATAAATTTTAAATGTTAAATAATAAAATACTCCATAGATTTTGTGACAACAAACTTTGTGAGAACAAACTACGAATCACTTTATATTAGTATGTAAATATTAATGTTTATATGTTCTGATTTTTAATATTTGTATTGAAAATATAACGATCTATAGTATAATTATCTAATATCATATTTTTAAGTTTTATTCATTTTTGTGTCATAAAAATGTATAATAAAATGATTGCTCATTTTTTATATGAGTTTATAATAAAAACAATTCCCAGTTGCCATAAAATCTTAAACAAAATATTCACCTTGAGAGATGAAATAATATATATAAAAAAATATAATTTTTCATTATTTCTTTCATATAACACGAATGTAAGATTTCAATAATAAAAGCATTTATTGCTGTTTTACTTAATGTAATTTTAAATTAAATTTCGCGCATTTTTGATAATGTATATTAAATTCTGCGATTGCATAGTTTACACAGGTAGGTATGTTTGTGATATTTTTATTTTACAATTTTTTTCTGTTGATATAATTAATTTAGTACATAGAATGTGAAAAATATATGTATAAAATGTAATACGAATTTTATATATAAATCTTGTATTCAAAATTAGTTATCACTTAAATAAAATGCTATGATTCAAATATTTGTTAAAATATTACTAGTTACAATTTCCTGTATATCTATAGATTTACAGGATAAAATAACAATTCGAAAATAAAAAGGAACAAAATTTCATAAATAATAAATAAAATAAATAAAAATAAACTTATGGTAATAGAAAAAGAAAAAATAAATATATATTTTAATAAATTGTCGCTGTTCATCAACTAAGCTTAAAATTGTATCACAACTCCATGCTAAAAAATTTAGCTAGTATTTGAAATTGTTCTTTACTAAAATTCTGAAGTCTTTTCTGTATATAGTTTTCTATATTTAAAATTATGCAGATCTCAAGAATGCAGAAAAATATCAAAGCAAGAACAATTGTGATTTTTCGAATATGTATCATAATACGAATTTAGTGATAATTTTTTCCGATATTGTGAGAAAAAAGTGTAAGCAAGTGGGGGCGGAAGTAGTTAGTCGGTAATTTGTGTATACTGTTTGCTGTACTTTGTGACACTGTATATGAAAAGTTCGTGAAATTAGAAAAAAAACCTATAAAATCGAACAATATTCTCATGGAATGAATATACATTTGCAAAGATTTTTATTTAAAATATTAATGAACGTGCATTTTTTCTCGAATATTGAATATATGTGAAATATTACGTAGTAATTTTCTTACTTTCGTGATATATCTTAGACTGACAAGTAACATAAATAACGTTCGAGTAATATTTTTCAGTCGTATTAGTAGTAATGCATAATCTGTTTTAAAGAATGTCTTGCTACATTCTTATTTAATTTCCAATTTATCCTTTTACAATAACTATTTCGAATCTTCGGTTTTTTTTGAGATTAAGTTCAGAATATAATGTCAGCAGATTTAAAATACAACTATATTGTAAAAACAACAGCTTGCAACTTTCTAATAGAGATCAATATTCAATCATTTTGAATTTATATGAAACGAAACTCGGAAATGCCAAGCAAGAAAGTGAATATGAAGAATATTATAAAACTATGCTAGATCAAGTGGATTGAAATATGTAGTATCAAATTGATTCATGGGTGTGACATTTTTAAATTTCATAATTTATATATATCTTCCATTACATGGCAAGTGCTGTTGCAAACTGTCCAAAAGAAGTCAGTAAGCATAGCTCTTGTCTGTAACTGGTAGTGAAATCTACATTGATAATTAGGGGATGCCCAGCCTACATTCGCTCGTCGTACGACGAGCTCCACTAATGGATATGGGTACTGCCACCAGTTCTGTGACATCTGTCAATCCTTCTAATAAAGTTGCTACAAGTCAAAAAAAAGTTGATAAGTCTAACAAATTTACTGGAGTCAGATCACCATTATTACGCAAAGAAGCTAGTGTTGTAAATCTTTCTTTAACAGAGAGGACTGCAATAGGAAAAGGAGTAGATGCTCCTTTACTTAGACCTGAAAGTAGCGCAAGCTTAGAAGCTCGTGGCAATAGCTGGTTGAGTCTAGGTCCTACAGGATTAAGAAAATGTGAAACTACTATGGGTTTAAGCACTTCTGCTTTAGAAGGCAGACCTATAAATCGCAGTCGAGTATGTTCTCGTTGCTCTAGTTTATTATCGTTGGCATCTAGTTCACGCTATAGTTTAGCTGCAGGCAATTTTGTTCCTGCAAGTTCTCAACAGATGCTTGGTCGTATTTTTTGTAAATTATGTCTTGTTGATATTTCTTTTTCTAAAACGTTTAAGATAGAAGGCTGTGGTTGTTCCTATTGTAAAGATGTATGTATAAATTTTTTTGATATATATTATCATATGAAAAATTATTTACTTTATATGTATATATATTGCATATTTCAGTGTATGAAAGCATATGTTGAATTTGAAATTGAAGAAGGTGCATATGAAATTAGTTGTCCTGATGCACAATGTGAACATGGAGCAATACTTTCCATGAAAGAAATATCAAATCTTGTTAATCCTGAACTTGTGGAAAAACATCATAAATTTCGATTGAATAGAGGTATGTAGATATTCTTTACTTGTTGTAAATATTGATAATTTAATTTAATAATTTGTACATAATATAGATGTGTCCATGGACAAAGCACGTGCTTGGTGCCCTCGTGCAGGTTGTGAAACAATATGTTCTATAAATGCTACTGGGTCAAATGGAACGCCTATTGGACCAGTTCATTGTCCTAATTGTTCTACAGATTTTTGCTCTATATGTCGGGAATCTTGGCATACTGGTCCTTGTTCAGATATCTCATTAGGTATACCATTTGATGGTGATCATATCAAATGTTGTCCTATGTGTTCTGTACCCATTGAAAAGGATGAAGGATGTGCTCAAATGATGTGTAAAAGATGTAAACATGTGTTTTGTTGGTATTGTTTGGCTTCTTTAGATGTAAGTACATTTGTTTATAATAGGATAATAATGGTAATTTTTTTTTAATTTCTAAATTTTATAAATACATTAAACAATATAGGATGACTTTCTATTGCGACATTACGACAAAGGACCGTGTAAAAATAAATTGGGTCACTCACGTGCATCAGTTATTTGGCACAGAACACAAGTTATTGGAATTTTTGCTGGATTTGGATTACTCTTGCTTGTTGCATCGCCGTTACTTTTATTGGCTGCACCATGTATTGTATGCTGTAAATGTCGTGTATGTGGTTCATCTAGACTTGAACAAGAAGAAGGTGATACTACAACATGAAAAAACATTTTTCATTCTTGTACAATTTCTTTCTAATGACGAGTAATTAAATTAGACTATCCAACTTGTGCACGTAATTGGCGATTTATATAGATATACATTGAATATGGTACATCATAAGTAAGACAAAGAATAATATAAAAAAAAATACAAATAATATCTATCAAACATTTAATTTTATGAAGGAAAAGTTAATATTATATTATGTTCTCAAATCATTTTTGTGGATGTTACTTATAATTAATAATTATTTTCATTATCTTGACATATTATTTGCAAACTTATGAATTTAAAAAATATTAACATATCTGTATATGTATTTATGTTATGATTGTTTTTATATAAGAAGTTACTTAATATCTAATTGATATTTAATAGTTACAATTTAGATATAGTTAGAAGACTTTTTTTATTGTTATTAGACTATAGTAATTTTTTTTTATTTTTTAAATGTCTATTATATCATAAATACTCATGTTTATGACATTCCAGAAAATTATATTTTTATTGCATTGGATTAACTGCCATATTCAAAATTGTTTTGAGTTTTTTGTATACATTGAATAATAGTTTGTTTCATAATTATTTTATACATATGTGATTTGCTGTTTGTGGTAATTTTTAGTAATACTCAATATTCTGTTCATGCACTTTTATGTTTTTATTAATACATAAAAAAATTTTTACAAATATAGACAAATTGATAAGCAATGTATATCTATATCTGAATTCAGTAAAGTTGACATGATTTTTTCAAAGTTTTATAAATTGTTGATTGTATCACAGATTTTTGGTTTTATCAGAGCTATTTTGTTTAAATAAATAATTGTATGTATATTTATTATACATTGTATGTATATTGTATGTATAATTGTTATATGAATAATTAAGCTTTACCAAATTTAAAAATATCAGATTTACAAATGTATAGATTCCATTATTGATATATACTTAATATATTTACTATTAATGATATATTTATGAACATAGTTTTTTGATTTGAAGAAAACTTATTCCATGAGTGTCTTAAGCAGCTCTTTAAATCGAGAATAGAATATAGACCAAAAATAGTGTAAGCAATATATTATAATACATAAATAATAAAATTAGATAATTATAAAGTATATAAGAAATCTTTAAATTTCTGACTATAATTACATATGATAATATCAGATTGAAAACATGTCTATCTCTTGTTATGAATTTATATTAGAATTGGCAATATAAAGATAATTTCCCTTATTTTATATGTGTATATATAATGTGCGCAAATGCATATACAGTATATATACATATGTATCATACATAAAGTTAATGTTGCTTAATCATCATATGTAATTAGTTAATAACAATGAATTAGTACATGAAAAATAAAATAAATCGTGTAACATGCAAAATGCACGTTTGAAATCTTTGTTGTATTATTGATTATAACTGTATATGTAACCTGTATTTGAGCACGTATAACTATACGTTATTGATTATGATATGTAAATATACACATAATATATATACTTACTAAACATATAGATATTATGTATATATAAAATTATCTGTATCTGTGTTGGTGCAGTTTTGCACAGAAGTCATTTAAGTCGAGTATGAATACAAAATAAAGAATATATCAAATTAAAAGTTAAATAGATGATTAAGATTACAAGCCATTTGCGATATATTAGTTATATGTTATAGTGTTAACTATAGTATTATATGTAAGCAACTAATGTAAAAAAGTCATTTGTTGTTATGATCTTCCTATATTATAATTATGTCTATCTTCTTTCTCTATATATATTATTTCTGAAATATATCTCAAATATGGTATTTTATTTTAAAAACGCAAGCGTAATCAATATACATTTTTTTTTACTTCTATGTTTAATAATTGAAACGACGCACGGTTGAAAGGATTAAAGAGTGTAAAGTTGTGTAAATATTTTATTCTACTTTTTACTTTGTATTATTTATTATTAAAATTCAGTTCTTGTTTCGATCCTAAATATTAAATATACATACGATAAATGAAATTTCATTTGTAAGAGGGAAATAATAAATAATAAAACAGTAAAGTTTCGATTTCTAGTAAATTTTCATTAAATTTTAGAAATAATCAAAAATAATAAAACAAAATTAAGGTACTTGTATGTCTATAATAAATAATATTGGTAAAAATATTTCGTATCGTTTCGAAACTATTAGTTTATAAATAGTACTTTTGTAAAATAATTTAAAAACGTATAAATGTTGAAGATTTTTATATAGCACAGCTAATTTAATTTTATCAATTTAGTTATTACAAGTGTATCAATAAAGTTAAAGAAAAATAAAAAAGATACAAGTAAAATTAAATTTAATACATACATACTAAATTATTAATGCAAAATATAATTTTGGCTAAAATTTTAGGAAATTAACAAAACAGTAGTGGATTTGATAATAATGTCAACATTTATTGCATAATAATTCATTTATTATTTTTTAATACAATATTTTTTTTTAAGAAAATTAAAAACTTGACTGGGTTAGAATTATTTGGAATGAAAAAATTGCATCATTAAGATGTATTAAATCACAAGTAGAACTTTTAGCAACAGCAAATTTCCACTCAAACGAGTTTCATGGGGCTGTATACTTCATAAATTCTGTTATTATTTAATGCATCTTGTTTATTAATTTTTAACGGACCGTGAATGAATTGAAGATGGTCTACAATTTATAGATTATATAATGACAACAGTTCTGTAGTCCTACTAAAAAGTTGATCTTAGATAATCATATACGTTAGTTAAAGAGAAGAAAATAACAATCAATAATCTAAATCTATATGCTATAAAATATTAGTATTATTGTATAATAGTTAGTGTCAAAGGTATGATTAATAAATTTAATAAAAATGAGTAAACATAACTATATGGATACAAATGGATTATTTGATAAGACCCTTAGCTCTAAATAAATCTCTCATCAAACCCTTTAAATACCCAATTTCTCGTTGTAAGTCTGTTACTTGATTTTTCAATTTTTCATTGTGTTCAGTCAGCTCACGTTCTTCACCTAATATCTCTTTTATTTCCTGCTTTTTTTTCTGTCTGTATCGTGTTGCTGCATTCTTATTTTGTTCTTTTTTTCGAACTTTTTTATCTTCGATTGATGGACGGGAATAAGGTTTCTGACGATTTTTCGTCGAAGCATATGCAGATTGTTTCGTACTCTTTTTTCCGGATTCTAAAATCCAATCTGGATCGTCTACGGAATCTTCTGATGAAATGTAACTGCCACCAGAGCTAGTACAAGGACTAGATGGTGAAATATCTTCTGTATATAGACGTACATATTCATCTACTACAGCCAAGTCATGTGCAGCATCTGTGTTTAATGGATCTAACGGTACATTTTTTGTATGCCATTGTACAGGTACTTCATTTACATACGATTTTTCCTCTGGAACTACTATGTTATATATAGGTTGATGATTAGAATATAATGGTTGTACAGGTTGTAAAGTAACAAGTAGCTGGGTATCCACATTTAATGCTCTATGTGGTGGAGGTGATTGAGGAGGTGTAAGAGTAGAACTTGATGAAGGGACCGTCTGATGACATGCTTCCACATCTTCCAAAACTGTTTCAAATTCTTGTAAGAGAGTTTGTGTATCATCTTGTTGAGGAGTTTTTGGAATTCCATTATATGTTGTCTTGATTTGTCCACTTTCAACAACTGGCAGTTCTTCAAAAATAGGCAATTCTATCTTTTCTTCTAACCAATCTGAAAAAGGCTCTGCAAAAATATATCATTTTATCAAATACAAATAGATACCATTTAATTTTCTAATTAATTTATCTAGAAATATATAAATAAGAAAAATTGGAAAATAGATAAAAATAAATTTATTAATTTTTTTTTATTATATTGAATGACCTGAGTCATAAAAATTTTATATCATTCAAAATGTTGATAACATATCAGATTTTGATATATAGCAGTATTTACATGAATTTATTTTAGCAAATATATTTGCAATTATATGATTAGCATCATTGTAAAAGTATGACACTAAATAAATAAATATATTAATAGATCTATATCTTTTAAATATCAAAATTGGATAAGAGTTGAAAACAATACTTGTTTAGCTTGGTAACTTAGGAATTAACAGTACTTTTACTTATATCTTGCATGAAGAATAAGTAGGAGTGGTACATATATAATTTCATGGACGTTACTAGTTTAACTAGAAAAACAAGTTCTTGATTTGCAATTTCTTTGGCTTCTAATACTATAGCTAATACTAGTATATTAATACGGTTATTTAAAGTAAAAACTGGTAGATATATATTTTTAAATAATATCTGAGTTTCTTCAAAAATTTAGGATTTGTTTGAGGAAATATTAGATTTTGAATTTCAATTTTCCTTATTTATCATATTTTAATTCTCTTGTTTACATCCCCAAATTAAGGAAAATATTTCAAAGATTTCTACATTAAAACTTTATATTCTACAGATGAATCCTAACCTATTTCTTATTGAATCTTGGATCAGAGTCTAACTTTAAATGTGTAAGTTATCTTCACTTAAATACAGAGGGCATGGGGTTAGATAAGAATATTCTCTTTTTATTGTGCAGAGCTGTTGTATATTATTTTGTCACTAAAAAATGACAAAATAATAAATTCAGGGAAATTTATTCAAAATTGTATAAATTATACTTTATTTTTATTGCTATAATAAAATATTAAATTATTTTAACATGATCTGGTTTGTTTTTTTATGTTATATACTGAATCTTAATTTATATACATTAACACGAGATTTGAAAAAATTATATATAATATTAAAAACATATTTCTCCAAATTAGAAAATACCAGTCATTAAAAACAGATTTATAATTATGTCTACTACAATTAGTTATATATTTATGTAACATACAATTTAAAAAAATTTTGAGTTACAGACAAATTGAAAAATGTATTCTGTTATTCCATTATGAAAACAATATGGCAACAGTGTTTTGATATGCGTAATAAAGGCCTTTTTCATCGGAATAAATGCTAGAAAGAGAGAGGAAATGAAACGAGCGAAAGGAAACGTACCACTATAACATATAGCAGCCATTATCACGTGCGTCTATTTTCGTCTGAATCCTTATTTAAAAAAAGAGGGAGGAATATATATGTATATTATAAATAAATAAATAAATAAAAAAAAACTTTTTGAATGTATGATATGGTGGTGTTCGTGGATGTAAAACAGCTAAGTCCAATAGAACACAAGTTGCGATTCAACGTCTTTTTACAAGTTTCTGGGAATTGACAATGATTTCTCGGTTCCACGTGTAGCAATATGCGAACTGCATGCTATTGTAGAACATTAGCACACTCCAGCATCGAGACGTTAGGCTTTTTTTTTCGTTCACTTTTAAAAATGCCAGTATTGTTAAAATGTCTAATTTAGACAGGAATCTGTTTAACTGTATGATTTACGTATATATCCAACTTTCTTAATTATATTCTCTGCGTTCAACTTGAATTATACGATCATGGGATATTACGCACTTCACCAATCACTTGTCATCGATTATCGATCAGTACAATCAATTAAAAATCACTATGCACAATGAACTTCGTCCAACAGAAACACTTCGAAATTTATTGTTTATCAGTTTATATAATTTCAAAATGCTAACCCACTTAACAAAATATTAACGGAAATAATAATTATTGTGAGCACGTGCAACAGGTTAGCGTATGTTATGAAAAAAATCCGATTCAAAATAAAATTGACTTAGATCTTCATAAAAAAAATAATGTTTACAATAGAAATGTAATGCAGTATATGATCCACAACAAAATATTAAACAATCAGTTTTCTTAGTTTAAACCACTGTCACCGTCGACAATATACATATAAGTTACAACGAACGTGAACAGATTTTACCACCAAAGATCGAACCTTTTTTTTAACTAGTATAGAAAAACGATTATCGACAAACGTAAAACAATAACAAGTTTGTATCAAGTTTGTTGAGCGATTAACTATCGGTAAGAAGGTAACGAAGATTAAAAGACAGAATCGTACGATCAATTTGCAATACTGCGAGAGACCACTCCTGCTTATCTTTGGACTTTCCCCTCTGACGCTCCCACTCCGACGTAGTTACATACACGTCATTCCCCTATCGGCCTTCAACTAAAGCCGTTTGTATAGAGGTTAACCAGTTTGTCCCACTCTCCTTTCCAGAAAAAAAGGAAAGGAAAATAAGATATATGTTAGAGGAAGTGAGAAGAACGAAAGCGATAGGAATAATATATCGAGAATGCAGTCGGATGAAACGTTAACGTTCAATTTCTATCCTTTAACTATACACAACGTTAAGAATTAGAGGACGCCAATTTAATAGACGCATACATATGAACTAATATAGAATTGTTCGCCTACACTTATATACCTTTATTATGCGTTCTTTTTACATGTAGCATGTTACAGTAACTTCAGATTTGTATAAATTTTAATTATCCTCAAAATAATTCTAGTATAACTTGTGAGGAACACAGTTGAAGAAATATACATGGATCTCTAAATATTTTGGCTTACAAAACATGTTTTTTAAATATATAATTTGATATTTGTATAAAATAATTTTACATTTAGATTAGACTAAAATGGAAATTCCAGTAGGTAGTTTACTTTGTATTGTACTGAATATCAAGCTTAAATTATTAGACTGCATATAAATTTAAAAGAAATATTCCCATAACTTGTTACAAAATGAGATGTAAGTATAATAAACAATGTGAAACTAAACTTTTAAATTACTTATTTGTTCATAAATAATGTGTATAGATTTAATATAAGGTTGCAGAAATTTTGAATACTTACCCTCTTTAATCCATTCATCTAATTTTTCCAAAAGTCTTGTAGCTACTTGTGCACGAGTAGGGTGGGTCTCGTATTTAATAGGTTCAATAACTTCTTTAGTAGAATCTACAGATTTATCATCGAATAAGAACCAATCATCTTCAAATTCATTCGACAGTGTCCCATTAGGAGACACTGGCTCGAATTTCCATAGCCAACTCTCCTGGTCCTGACTGGATGCCATTGTTGTTATAGTCCCAATCAAGGTTTGTTAAAAAAAGATGAAAAGAAATTTGTGTCGGCTGTGCGACGTAGCTCAAAATGAGCGCCATATTGGCCCTGAAAATATTAAATACATATATTAGCGATAATGTGAACAAATATATATGATAAATTATATAATTTATTTTTTATAATATATAATTGTTTTGCTCAATATTAGTTATTTTAATATTAGTTATTTTAATAATATAACAACATAGGGAACATCTTGCTACTTGAATGTAAATTTTAGAGAAAAGAATGAAGACAATGTAAACATAATGTTAATGTGAAATATGAGAAGATAAATAATTTATCCATGCAATCATAAATTAGAGACCTTTAATTAAACACGTCGCTTAAAAGTTTATCAGTAAATCAAATATACATAATTGCATCGTTTACTGATTATATAACTTAAAAGTAACTCATAACCATAAAATATATTCATGAAATGTAAGAAAAATGGCCAACGATCCTCATGACGCAACATTAGGCCATATCATCTGGCTAAATTTTTTGCTTGTGTTTTGCTATTTAATTGTATTCTGACTTGATTTTAAAACGTAATACGTAATAGGAACCTAACATCGAGTACAAAAGATGTATATTTGTTGATGAAAAGGATATTAAGATGATAGTTTCGATCATTGATAGTACGATTCGCAAAATGGCAGACACGTTGTACAATGGCCGGACATCGACATAAAATTAATTTTTTTTAGATAATAAATATTACTTACTTCATGATTAATTAGTTGTGTCGGCACACTTGCGTGTGCAAGCTGTTTCGTGAACTACTGATTCATCTTGCTCGTGACGTGAAATGCAGAGAAAATTCGAACGTGCTTCCTTCGTGATACATGGATGGCGAATGAGCGTCTCCTTCGGAGAATTTGACCGCTGAGGTCACGTGATTTGGGAATGCGTACGCAAAGGTGCTCAGTTCAGATCAGTTTCATAAATTTTCTGCGCAGGTTACTGCGAAATTGCGTTCCTTTTAAATATTTTCTATTTTCCGTATGTATTGTTAAAATTGTTATTTTAAATTGTTATTATTATAATTCTGCTCATAATCACTAATATTATAATTCTAAAAAAGTAAATTGAAAAAACTATTTTAATATTTTATAAGAAGCGCGCTATCTTTCGATAATATGTTTACATGTATCTTTTATTTTCTTTATTTTAAACCTCTATAATAATAATTTCATTTGAAAAAGAAATGTGACTTAGCGTAATTAGTTACAGCTTATTACAGCTATTCTTAAAGAAAATGTAACAAAAAAGGAAAATGAACAAGAAAGGAATATTTTGCAATAATTGATGTGGATAACAGATAGAAATTTTCAATTTGATAAAAAACATTTATCATACTTTCTAAAATACATGTACAAATGGTAGTTTTGAAATACGCAAAAACTCCAGTATTTATAAATTATTAGTAAATAATTCTTTATGAATTGTATATTCCTCCAACTACATCAATTAACAAATACTAAAATATTTACAAAACAATTATATAATTACATCATAAAATATTTATCAAAAATTTTGTAATAAAATTTCCTATATGTATGTTAGGAATCAACTTTTTATTTTAATAGTTGTAAGATTTTTGATCCAATTACTAATTATAGAATTGACCTGTATATACAATGTCTGGTGTTTAATTACTTCTCTTCTGTTTAAAATAATCATTTCTTAAAATCTTATTCATAAACATTCCAATTTTCATTCTTAGTGGCACCGGCGGAAGTAGTGCTATCATCTTCTGAATTTCGTGGAACCAGTAGCCCGTACTGGAATTTACCTTTCCAAGCGTGTTAATCGCATTTTTGGCATAAGTTGTCGGGTTAGGCACAAAAATACTAGATATCTGTAGCATTTAGCGTGTTAATTAATTATAATCATTTGTAAATCAATTTACTTATTTTCTTATCTTTTATTTACCTGTAATCGATCACTGTACGCGTTCATATTTGTTTTGACAAAATACGGAGTTAAATGCTGTATTGTTAATTTAGAATACTCTAGTCCGAGCGCCTCGGAGAAGCTTTTAATATAAATTTTCGTTGCAGCGTATACGGTCATTAATGGTAATGGTTGGAATGCCGAACCGGATGATACATTAACGATGGCGCCTTTTCCACGTTTTTGCATTTGTCCGATGACTATTCGTGTCATTAACGTAGTAGCTCCGATATTGACATTAATGATGTCCCATAACATATTTTCTGGGACTTCTCCGACGTACATCGGATATTCATACATTAAACCCACATTGTTTACTGGAACAATAGTTCGAAAATTAGATTATGTAATCGGTTGAACAAACAATATAAATGAATAATTATTTTTATAGAGAAAAATATCTTTTTTTTGTCTTTTATAAGCATTGTATTGGATTTATAAACGATACAGACAAAATATATAAAATGACGATAGTTCAATTACCTAAGATACCAATTGGAATATCTTTAAGCTGTTCCGCAAGCTTCTCGAAAATTTCTTTCCCTTTACTGAAATCCGCCACGATTATTTTTACTTCGATTGTTGGATTCTCTTGCATAATTTCATTCTTTGTTTTCTCCAGTTTTTCCAAATTTCGACTGATTAGCACCAGGTTTATTCCTCTTGAGGCTAACTCTTTTGCATAAGCTTTGCCAATGCCATCAGTAGATCCAGTCACCACTTAAACAAAACATTTCTAAATATTTGCAAAATATTACCTATCTATATGTTTTACCTGCCCAATCGCCGAACCTTGCTCGTAAATTAATCGATTTCGAGTTGATAATCGGCACAATGATTTGCCACAAAGTGCTGGCGATTCTAGTGACGACATTTAAAACTAGCAGTGACAACAGTAGAATGATGAACAACCAGAATATAATTTGCAGCATTATTTCCTTCCAAAATAATTAAATAATAATTAAATGATTGAAAGTATATATTAATCTTTTATATGAGAATATTATTGGAATATAACATTATTAGAATATTATTAGAATATATATTTAATAGATAATATTATTAGAATATATTAATCTTTTATATTAATTTTACCTAAGTTATTGAACACCTCTCTTATTTCTTGTCACAGAAAAAGTATTTCACGTTTACGATCGTGACATTGTATGACTTTTACGAACTTCTAGTTTTCTTTATTCTATTCTTCTTTTTCGCAGGTTTTCTCAATTTTACACAAATTTGATAATGATGATTTCTTTGATTTACTAGGATATTTTGTTTCTCTTATTTTTAAGCGACGACCAGTGAACGAGGATTGAAACAAGACTAAAGCTATTCGTGATATGTAAACGGTACAAATGGCGATTGAAGGCTATTCACTTTCTCTAGCTGGTATAAACGACACAGCAGTTCATTATTATGTGCGCGAAGCACATGAAATGACAATTATTATCTTATTATTTTATCTTATCTTATTATTTCATATTTCCGTCTTTGTTAGGATGAATACAAAGTTCAATATGACTTTAAATATATACTAATTACGTAGTAAATTGACACAACACTGGCTTGTTAAATGAAGCTTGCTGTAATAATCGAAGAAACGTTTACATATGTAGAATACGATGGTAATTTACATATTTATTAAGACTTACTTTCCTGTGGAAACGCTTCGATGAATTAGCCGAATTTAAATTATCAAATCGGATGCAAGGGAAACAGATTTTATGATATGTATATCTACCAAAAGTATTCATGGCAGTGGATGGTCGTTGAATTTTCTGGCGGAGAAGAACGGTTAGAAAGTGGGAACACAGGTGAAAGAGGAGGATTGTCGTGTTTACCAGTGAAGAAACGAAGATGAAACGTTGTAGGCGCGCGCGCAGCTTCTTTCACTTCTACGAACTGGCACCACGTTCTATCCTTATGTCAGAGGGACTTCTGAGGCAAGGCAATAGCCGTTTGTCCATCGGCTTGGTCGTTCGAGGTCTTCGTGTCGGCGTGTTCTTTTTCGAGATCTCCCACGTTTCTGACGACTTTTTACGTCACGCGTTTGTCTAATTAGCGGTTAATCAAGTTGGATCACAAAATACATCGCTGTGAGTAGACACGGTTGAATTTAAGAGACCATTTATCGTGGCATTCCTTTGAAAGGACTCCTGAGAAATTTGGGGCAACGTGGGAACGTTCGATAAAGCTTTTACGAAGCTGCACGACCCAACCGAGTATGCCACGTAGATTTTGGCAGAGTATGGTCCAATCTCTCACCGCCTAACAGGTGAGCCTTTTTCATCTTTCGACGATTCAAGAATGCGTATTCAAGCAATTTTCCGGCTCGGTGGCTCGAATAATCGCGTTGACAGTTGAGCGCGACGAAGTTCAACGATTTATGCCATCAATTCGCAATTCCTATCGATGCCAAAGATACCGTTGTAATAATATATTTATCGCATTTATGACTATCAACCAGAGGAAGGAATCGGACAATTGCGGTCAAGAGCAAATTCCAATGTCATTGCGCAATGGAGTACACGATTCGATTGGCGACGTTGTTCGTTATTTATTTGTTGTACCGCTTCATTAATATAATGAATTTTTGACATTCATTATTCCATTAGCAACAATGTTCGTTTCTGTGTGTTAGTTTAAACCGATATCATGGACAAAGGCTATCAAGTATTATCGGGAAGTTGGTTAGTCATTTATATATCTCTTGAACGAGCAGATGTGTTCGTGTGCCATTAATTTTTCATTCATTACTGTTTGAATAAAATCGGCTTCAAAGTAAATTATAATAATAATAGTAATAATAATAGTTGTTGTAAAAGAACCGGCTATTTCTGTGAATTTTTTTCTTATGGTATTGAGAATCAGCGTTAACAACAGAACGAAGTATCAATACGCATAATAATTTCATAGTTATAATCTTTATTGATCAACCGAACAAGCATTTAGATCAGCAAGCTTAAATTTGTTAATTAATTATGATTTTGATATTTTATGTTTGTGCAAAAATTATTTAATTAATATACCGAACACCTAATATAATATAATTATGAATATAGTATTTTCGTATAATGTTGTATATTTTGCTATTTCATAAAAGGTTACACGTTCAGTTGATATCAATTGATTTTTTTATATATATCAATTGATAGTGTTTTATCAATTGACTTTGAACTTTTTCTTTGCAAGAGAATGATGTCATATCTAAACGAAACGCACTACATTGCGAAAAGAACAAGTATTTCATGTGTGGCAATAATTCCGTTCTTGCTTACGTTTCTCAAGACTGAATTTTTGATGAAAAGTGATTTAACTTCGAATCATGCAGAATGAAGTGTAACCTACTTAAGTTAAGAAACTAGTTTGTCAAGAAACAAATGTGCTCTACATATCCAGATGTTAAATGTACCGTGCGCATCCATTCAGAACCGGCTTTTATATCTCTTCAATCGGAAAAGAGTTCGAAACAGTGGCACACTATCTAATTATCTTCTCTTGCTTTCCGTTTATGATACAGATCGTTCCACATTCCGACCATACATATTAATAATTGTACTCAAATGAATTTCATTCCTGATTTTCTGTTTTGGAATTATTACTAATTTGTGGAATTTGTATGTGACTTATCAAAGAGAGAGAGAGAGAGAGAGAGAGAGAGAGAGAGAGAGAGAGAGAGAGA